CCCTCCCTCCCTCCCTCCCCTCCTTGGATCCTGGTACTCATTCTAAAATTGTGGTCCTATACAGTATTTGTCTTTATGAAACTAAGTTAGTTCAAAAATAAACATTTTTAAATATATGAATAAATATAAGAAAAAAAAATAGACAACCATTTCAGGCAAAGGCATCTAAGCACAATGTTAAAGGCTTGCACATATGGTTTAAGAAATAACCCATTTCTTTGGTTAAAGAAATAATTCTGACAAATGTCCGTCGTATGACTAGGATATATTACTGTTTCCTCTCTTTACATTACATAATGTTCTTAAAATGATTGCACGTGGTCACTAGAAGGGCTGGCATGAAGAGGAGGGCTTTCAAATCCAGTGCTTTAACAACGTGGTCTCCATTAATAAGCTGTATATTGACCACCTGGACTATGAACACCAATTATTTATGGGTTGGAATCAAGGATGAAAAAAGCAAGGGCTTCCCAGAGCTCATTGGTTTGCATGTCTCTGAAGAATTGCCTGCTTTTACCTTTCTGGAAGTTAGAGAACTTTGGGCAACTGAGGGAAGCTGAATATCAAATTTAATATTTCAATAGTAGACCAAATGATATATCAGGACATGAGGGAGGCTTAATACAAGCTGCAGGTCACCTTGTGGCACAAAGGCATTCCCTAAGAGTCAACATTGTTCTTAGTTTGTATTAACTGAATCTGTCTCATTATTAAAAATTATAAAAATACTTTATCCTCAGTCTGCAACAGGCAACAAGTACAGGTGAGAATAAACGTTTTTGAAAGAGAGCTGACACTGACCTGAAGTATGGTTTTCCCAGATCTCCACAAAATCTTTTTCACAGTTGGAGGAATTCTGAAGGTTAAATGCTTCAAAATGAATAGTTAAGTAGTGGTCTGAGAGACCCTGAAGGTGCCACACACAGACTAAATTATCTCTGTAAGGAAGTGTTGGGTATCCGATGCTTTCAATGATACCACTCCGCCCAGTCACTCTTCCTCCACACAGCGCTGCCAAGGGGAGAGAAATTTAATATTCTATTAAATATTTTAAAAGTATATATAAATATGCAATCTACACTTGTAAAAACATTCCGAGCCAAGTGAACTTGCAATGACATTTTAAAAATCAAACATTGGATAAATTATGTATACTGCATTGAAACAGATGAGGGAGAGAAAAGTCAAGAGTCCAGAATGAAGGCTCCATAGTGGAGTGTACTTGGCGGGGTGGGAGTTGGGGATTGTATACCAATGAAATAACTTTTCTTTTACTTTCCAAAGAGAAGAGCGAAATGTGGTGGAGGTGGACAGGGAGAAAAATGCAATAATGAGTGAACAGAAATCCAAAATATCTGTAAAAGTTTATTAAAATTGATAAAATAAAATTTTTTAAAACTAAAATGAACAAATTGCTGATAAAAAACAAAACAAAACTGAACATGTCTCCTTAGTTCTCCTCCTTATTTGAAATCTACCAATAATGTGGTAGATTACCACTAAATTGTTTTTTGTCAAACATTCTTCCAGGTGGTATAGCACTGGTCTGTCCATTTACTGTACAGAGGTAATTAGTGGTTGCTGTGATGCTAAACACTGTGACACTGAGGTGCCAAATGTGATAACGGTTACCCATGGTGGACAGTGTTTGGTGGAGTTTCCTGATTAAAACAAGCTTGGAAGCAGGAGTGGCACCCACTTCTGAAATGGCTTGCCTCCAGAAACTGTATGAATAGTGCTCAGGTCTTTCATTCATAGGGTTGTTATGAGTCATCCAAGACTCGATGGCATCAAACAACAACAACCACCACCACTAATGTACTTTGAGCATGTTACCAGAAAGGGCCAGTCTTTGGAGAAGGACATCATGCTTGGAAGGATGGAGGGACAGTGCAAGAGAGGACTAGACCTTGGATGAGATGGATTGACTCAGTGACTGGGGTAATAGGGGTAGGTGTGTCAGAGACAGTAGAATTGGTTCAGGATAGAGCAGGGTTCAGAGCTATTGTACGTACAGAGTTACTATGAGTCACAAGTGACTTTGACAGCACGAGACAACAGCAACTACTAATGTAAAGAGGAATAACATCTCAAGCCTAATCCAGTGGCAGGAAGTGAAAGACTGTTGAGTGATATATTCTATAAACTCACGTTCATGCTCTTGGGACACTATGTAAACCCTGTCTGTGACAGATTTCATTTAAAAAACCAATCACCTAGTATACTGTGGTGAGAAGGATTCTAAAAACAGAGGATGAGTTCATCAGGAGGGTTGTGGTTGATCAGTAATGCCTGCCACTTCTATTGTACCCATCAAATCATCACTCTACTGCAGTAATTGGTATCTTCAGGATGTGAAAACTATGATTCAATTCTTTCTTATCAGCTAGATGCAATAGCTACACTGAATTATATGTAACTTGCCTCAGGCGATAAAGTGACCTAAAGTGTAGGTTAAATACTGCTACATTCAGGATTTCTAGTTCTTGCTAAAATAAATAAAATGTGATTAGTGTCTAAACCAGATCTACCAGATATTAAAGTCTATGCCATTGTGGACCATATTATTTGCATATATAATAAAGTTTGAAAAAGAAAGAATTCAAAACATTGAGTAGATGGAGATGGTTACTTTTCCAGTAACAATAAATTTAGTCAGTGTTATAAATACCCTTATTTGATGATTAACATGTTGCCACACACTTTTAAATTGAGACCTTGCTTAGAACATATTTTTTGCCCTCATTGTGGCAACGTGTTAAATAAAATGTTATTATATAAACTAAAATAAAACATATCTGATGGCAAAAGGAAGGAGTAAAATCTTTATTTAACTGAATATGATTTTTACAAATTGGAATAAAGTCCAAAATAATGATATTTACATAAAATTCTAGTTTAAATGAGAATAAAAGTTGCAATTAAAGTGATCAGCTGTATCTCTAAGAAGTAACAATTTCATATAAATTACTATATAACATGCGAAAGTCTATAGAGCATTATGCTGAGTGAACTTACTGAGTCTCATAAGGATAAATATTGCATAAGACCATTGTGGTAAAAATAGAAGGATAACTAGTAAAATGTGTGTAAAAGTCCAAAACAGGAAGGAGGAGAGGTCAGGGGGACAGAGTATGAGGAGAGGGGTTATGACTGAGATGACAGAGTTTCGTGGGAGGGTAGAGAGGTGAAGGAATTAGGAAAGATTTAATGGGACTAAAAAAGATAAGGTAACAGTAGACATAGATTAGTGGTGATTGATTTTATAAAATACAATGTATATTAAATTGCTTGAAATATTATGTGAATGAAAGAATGTGTGAAATAGAATGTACATGAATGAAACAATATATGCAAATTTTATATGCAAATAAAGATGAAATAATTTTTTTAAGTCCAGCCATTACTCAGTCTAAAAAAATTTATAAACTTTAAATTTGTGGTTTAAAATCCTTAAATTTCTTAGCTATCTGTCTATGCTTATCATCAAAATAGTTCCTAGAGAAAAAGATTTATTCTTAAGAAAAGGCCTGGGGAGCTCTGGTGGCCCAGTGGCAAGGAGCTGCAACTACAATCCCAGAGGCGCACGGTTCGAATCCACTAGATGCTCTGCCGAGGAAGGAGGGACAATCTCCTCCTGTACCAGTCAGATCTGATTTGACGGTACACGCACACAAAAATAATAAAATAAAAAAATAAATTTAAGAAAAAGAAAAGGCCTGTGGGTCATGCTTGAGAAGCTCTCTGGACTGATACCCCTGTGGTCAACCTGAATTATAGTCTATTAACTTTCCTAATAAACTCCATAGCTATGAACAAAATAATAAAACTGAAAAATGTCTTAACGTATTATTTCTATCACTAGAATATGAAAAGTTCTGTTACCTATTGAATACTTAGCCTTGAATCCAACATGAGTAGGACTGTTATCCGTACGGAATCTCAAGTACATGGTTTCATCTGAGGACAGCTGACTTCTGGGTAAAGATGTCCCACAAGACTTGGAAAGTATTGGTGCATTTGCATCCGCTCCATCTCGCAATTCAAGGTAATTTGATGTGCAGCTGATGGCAGACGAAAATTCCGTGTCTTTTATAAGGTCAATTGCTTTGACATATTTTGATAATAAAGACATCACTGCCTTTCTTTAAGGGCATTAGTAAATCATTCTTGTAGCATAAAATACTGTGACGGTCTGTTTAAACTGTGTGTCACTTTAGATTGATCTGTGGTATTTTTCCTCCTCATAATAGACTCCTTCAAAAACTCAAACTTATATCCATTGAGTCAGTTTTGACTCGTAGTGACCCTCCATTCAGTTTCCACAGCTGCGAATACTAATGGAAGGGGACTATAAACTTTCTCCCTTGGAGCCACTTGTGGCTTCAGACTACCAGAGATGGGAAATCTTTGAGTTAGCAGTGCAATTTGCTAAGGGCTTAATTTTACAAAGACAAGTTTTACATGTTTCACACAGAAGACCCTTTACTCGTCTCCCACATTCTGTGTTAGTTTTATAAATACAAAAGTTATCCTCAATTGATCTCCTAAAACCTTAAAAATCTAACAAAATAAGCTCTATTTTAGTTCACATGACTTGACATCACTCAAGCACAGATGAACCCTTGACAGCACTTCACCTGGGTTAATGGACAAGCCAAGTCACTGGATGTCCATAAAAGCGAATACGGTATTTCTGAGCAGTCCAACCAGCTAATTTATATGGCATAAATTAAAAAGTAGCATTATATCAGGTGTCTGCATGTAAGGGAAAGCTCTGTATCCCAAATCTGCAGTGTACATGTATAATAATACATAGCACACTTTTATAATACAAGTGAACATTTCAGACTATTTAATTACCCTTTGTATTTAACATGAATAAGATAAACTTTTTGGTCTATAATTCATTAAGAAGTCTTAAAAGACAAACAAAACAACCAAACCCATTGTTGTGTAGTTGAGTCTTACTTCATAGTGGCTCTCTAGGACAGAGAACTTTCCCATAGAGTTTCAAGGCTGACAATCTTTACATAACCAGTCGGCTACATCTTTCTTCATGGAGCAAATGGTAGATTCCAACCAGGGGACTGTTGGGTTAGAAGTTGAGCACTTGATTATGGCACTACTAGTGCTCTCTTGTTAACTTGAGATTGGGAGATTGTCCTGCACTAGACTAAGTTCTTGTTCTGACCCTGGTGATTCCCAGTATCAAATCACACACAACCACATGTGCTAAGCAGATAATTTATATAATTTATGACACTGAGTATGAGGCTGGTAAAATAATTTTTAATCTAATAGAGACAATACACTTTTCCTGTGGAAGGAAAAATGAATAACATGTATGTCAAGCAGCCATCCTGAGTGTCTCCCGGAGGATGTAATTGGGCCACTGGGGACTGTGCGCACAATCTACGTGGATGATGGTAAAGTCCCTGACAGGCAACATTTCTTGGGTTTAAGGTATTAAGTAGTTTTTTTTTCTTCTTTCCTAGATTTTCTATGTAATACACACAGGTGAGGAAAGAAAGAATATATTATTCTGAGGTGCTGTCACAGTATAAAAAATTGTCTGGGTTAGAGAAAAATGAAATGGAAGTAACCTACTTGGGTGTTATTTCGATATTGAATTGGTCTTCAAACTGCAGCTGCACAAGCTTTCCAGGGGGAGCAGATAAGATCCAAATGCAATCAGCGTGCGGGGGGTAATTGTCAGGGTGGTTGGGAGAGGTCACATATCCAGAGGAATCAGCATCATGGATGTAAATATTGCCACCACAAGCTATCAGGAAATACAGTTAAATCAATATAACAAAGTTAAATCTTTCATGCTGGTGAAAGAGGAGAGTTAACTATTATTTTTTCCCCTCCAAAATAAATTTATCTACATTTCCAACTTCAATTTCCTTTCATTGTGGTGATGATGCTATTATGGGCTGTCAAGACAACTGACTGTTAGCGACCCTATGAACAATGGCTCTGAACCTTGCCCTGTCTTGAGCCAACTTCACTCTTCACTGACACACCTGACCTCATTGTCACATTTACTGTGTTGATCCATCTCATCCTAGGTCCTCCTCTCCTGTGCTGACCCTCTCCCCTTCTAAGCATGACGTCCTTCTCCAAGGACTGGTCCCTCCTGGAAATGTGCCCAAAGTATGGGAGATAGAGTTTCAAAATATTTTCCTTGTTATGAATTTTCCTTACTTTCTTCTTAAGGAATTAAATTCTGTTTTTGCTATTGAGGGAGCCACCAGGTAAAATAGTTTTTAATTAGTCTAACAACCTCCTTTTCACTGAACAGTTCTTCCTTCCTTAAAGTCATCAAAATAATTAGGGTAGACAGTAAATTAAGGACATCTTTAAAATTAAAGCGTTAATACATGTGAGATAAAATGCAAGTATTCTGAAGTCATGACTTCCCACTGCTCATAAAATTCAATAGAATAATGCAGAATCTTGCTCTTTGCATGTATAAAATACTAAAATTCCTACACCTCTGTGGGCATCTCCTCATTATGTTGCTATAGAATGTAGATGCATTTGAAGACTAGGCAATGAATGATATGAGACAATTTAGTACTTATTTTTTTGCAAGAAAATAAAGAAGCTTTTAATTTTTTTCTAGAAGACTGAAATATTATAAAACACATTTTTTCTGATACTAATAAAGGCTCACTGTACTTCACAACAAATAAACTGTGCAAAAGTGAACATCATACATAGAACATTAATTTAATTAACCTGCCCAATAACAAAGCCTCACAGATACTTGACTTCTGAATTCTAGTGGCATTTATTTCTGTTCTCATTCAGCCTTTTATGGTCACATTCTGAATTCTGTCATTCCCGAGAACTTCTCCATCTCTCGAACTTTAAATTTCTAATTGCCCTTCACTAGCTTCCATTTCCTTGCTCTTTGCTTTCTTTAGTCTTGCCCTGCCCAATTCTAACACTACAGTTTCCAGTGAATTTTGTTGTAATTGTTAGGTGTTCTGGAGTCAACTCTGCATTATTGCCACTCTATGTACAAAAGAACAAAACCCTGTTTAATCTTGTGCTATCTTCACAATCTCTGCTGTGCTTATTGTTGTAGTCACTGTCAACACATCTTGTTGAGGGACTTCCTTACTTTTGTTGACTCTGCTTTTCCATGCATGCTGTTCCTTCCCAGAGTCTTGCCTATCCTGATAACAAGGGCAAAGTTTGTGAGACAGACTCTTACCATCCTTGGCTCTAAGAAGCACCCTGGGTGTACTTCAACTAATTCATGAGAACTGGTAGTACTACAAATACATGTTCTCTGACTTCAACACTGACAAGCATTCCTTCCTCCTCTGTTATAGAAACTACAACCACATGAAACTCATCTATTCTTCCTAAACCCTTTCCTCTTTCTATTTGTCCCTAACTCTCAACATATTACTCTGAAGTCTACTTTTAAAAAGAAACACAATAGATGATAAATATCTCAGTTTCCTTTACCTCTTTTCGCATATCTTTAGTTTATTAGTCTGTATGTCTACTCCTTCCTTTTTCTTAGACATTATCTTCCTGCATATCTAGATCAGGTTCCTATTTTGTTCTATCTCTGCAGGGACCATTTCCTACTTAATCCCTCTCCACTTCCTATATATTGCAATTACTCCATTCTCTTACCCTTTTGTATGTCCTTTCTATAATCATGTACTGCACTGTCACTTTCTCTATTCCTTACCTCCTTTTACTCTTCCCCTTTAATTCTTCAATCCTATCAAAGCACCCTTACCCTGTAACTCATTCACAATGGTATAACCCAAAGATCCTTTTAAATCCTTATTTTATATCCATATCACTTGGCTAGATCTTCCTTCTTGCTTGGAAGTTTCTTCCCTTAGCTTCCTAGATATCAAGCTCTCCTTGTTCTTCTTTTACCTCTTTCTCATTATTCCCCTGAAGCCCCTTGGGGACCTCTTTCTTGATATTAAATTATCTAGGACACTGATGTGCCAAACGTGGTAATGGTTACCCATGGTGGACAGTGTTTGCTGGAGCTTCTTAACTAAAACAAGCCTGGAAGCAGGAGCGGCATCCACTTCCAAAATGGCTTGCCTCCGGAAACTCTATGTATGAACAGTACTCAGGCCTTTTGTTCATAGGGTCGCTATGAGTCATCTATGACTTGACGGCACCTAACAACAACAACAAGAAGGAATCTCTCTGTGGTCTTTCTTTTTTCCTTTTAAACATTTCTCTGACTAATGCCAGCCATCCTCATGGCATTATAGTTGGCTGCTGATTCCTAGATATGCAGCATAGATTCTTCTTCTGACATCCATGGCCACTTTGCAAAAGATATAAGAATTTAAAACTTAATATTCCCCAAATGAATCTTATCATCTGCTTAAAATCTAGAGGTCCAGACAGAAAAGAATGATAGCATCACCTTCCTCTGAGACTAACATTCCTATCCACCTTCTCTACTCTTCTTTTATCCTTTGTATGAATTTCAGTTATATATTATCTGCTTTGACAATAAAATCAAGCTCTGTGAAGGCATAATTTCTTTAACTGCTTTGTCTCCAGCAGCTAGTACATTGACTGTCACATGGCAGAGTCTCTCAAATGTTTATGGAATGAATGGACTCACCTAATCAGAAATCTAGAGGTCATCCCTGGCACCCTGCCTCATTTCCCACATCCAGATGATTTCTAAATTCACTCAAATTCACATTTATAACATCTGTCACTATGTTCTCTATGTCACTATATTTTCATTCTTAACATCTCAATTCAGTTGCTTAACAATTATTTCTGGAACTATTATTTCATCTGATCTCCCCACGTTATTCTTGTTCCCCACAATATCTTCTCAATGCTGCAGGCTAATTTATGTTTCCAATGATCATGCCATTCATACTTTGATTAAAATGCTACAGTCATTCTCATTTCCTTCAGGTTCATATTTTAGCTTCTATCATGGCATCTACCACCTCTTAGCATTTATAAATCTGCTTGCTATGCATGTCTGTCAGATAATGTTTTAAATCTGAGCATTCAAATTAAGACAGAGTAGGAAGAAGGATTGGCCATACACTCTGAGATAGCAGGCCTTCAAAAACCCTATGTACAATAGAGCACACTTAGACTAGCAGATACAAGATAGAGCAGGGTTCAGGAGTGTTATATATAGTATTGCTACGAGTTGCAGGTGACATGACAGCACATAACAACAATAACAAGGTTGCACAACTCAAAGAATGTTGACTGTACAGAGAAATAGCTTAATTGGTCTAGGATTCTTTGCATACATTCTTCAAAACAACACAAAAATTAATGATAACAATGCACATTATGACTTATTCAGGAATCTGGGATAAGGCCATGGAATCATCCTGAAATAGATATTTAGTTTTTGCAAACAAATAAAGACTTAATACTTATAATTCTCATAATTCTCTCTAGTGACACTCCCACTTTTCTTGCAACTACGCTTATTCACTTAAATAAGCATTATGCAAGAATAATGTCATGGGAATTAAATCATTAGAGCAGAATGAAATATCATTACAATCAAATGTAATTAAGTAAAAGTAGTTAAAGATCACAGAAATAATATATAATTAAATGAGTAATAAAATCAGAGGATTATGTTTTCATTTAAAAGGATGCATACCTATGATCACAAAACGAGACAATTACAATTCTTACATTGTTTCTATAACTGAAAGTAGATTGAAATTACATATTTTGCAAAATAAAAGTGTTAGGAATTCTGGGGGATCATTTAAAACAGTTTACTTCATAATCATGGAGAATTTCATGTTGGTCACTCAGTTCTACATGTGGTCTTGGAAAAGTCTAAACCTCGTTTTGCTTAGCTATAAAATAAGAATAATGAAGCTTTCTGTAAAAAGTAGTCATGTTGAGCTATTGAAATATTGAGAATATAATAGGTCTTGCTTTAATAGGTAGCTAATCATACAAAAAAATTTACTCTTCATTTAGAAAAATAACATTGTTTTTTCCAAACCTCCACATCACTTTACCAAGAAAAGTCAATTAATTTGAACGGTCAGACTATTGGTTGGCAAATAGGTGTTTAACCAGCACATCACCAGGGCTCCATTTAAATGAGGAAAAGAAATAAGTTCACAAAAATTACAGATTTTAATTGCAGTAAAAGTACTTACCTAAACTCTTAGCTTCATATTTGATCTTAAATCCTTGTCCTCCATTACTATTATCAGAAATAAACTGAACAAACATTTGATTATCTGAGGTAAACATAGTAGATGAAGGACGGCTGCCACAGAAATGACCATTTCTTCCATGGGGTCCCAAAGGCGGAGAATAAGCATCAGGTCCATTTTTCAGCTAGGAAGAGAAATTAATATTGCTTCATATTGTGTCAGATGAAATGCAATAGTCCTATAAATGCATTTCCCACAAGGAAAAGTCGTCATTGTCTTTTCTGAATGAAGTGTGCAGACAAAGTAATTAGGAAGGGGCATAGACAAGACTTACTATCAAATAATCCCCCTGGTTACAAGAAGAATCTTCATTTGGGATCTGGAATGGCTGTTCAAAATGGACAGCGATGGTCAGACCACTCTGAACCAGGACATGCCAAGAACAGTTGAGGTTGGGAGGGTAGGTTTCGGGATACATGGGAGATGTAACAACTCCTCTGTCTGCATGCAAATAGCCACCACAACCTTCACAGAAAGACATAAACAGAGGTCATTTCAATGACATAGACACTAGATATTTATGTATAATTCCTTTTCTTGAGGATTTTCTAGGCGTAGGGAAAAAAAAGATATAATTTGAAACTAACTCGGACAAGGTGTAGAAGATCAGATTCCTATAACAAGCACTACCTATTGGGTGCACTTAACCCCTGTTAAGATCTAAGGGTATTTAGGCAAGTAATGGAAAGAAATTTCTTAAACTTGCATTATAGTTGGATAAACATGCATTGTTGTCACTGTTGGTATGTACTGTAAAGTTTCAGAAGCTGTAAAACGCACAGAAGGAGACTGTCCATCTCCTGAAACTCAGCAGATTTTCAGAGGCAGTTAATCACATGGGAGGAAACTGTCCATCCTTCTCCTGCAGAGCAGCTGGTGTGCTTGAACTGTGTGCCTTCAGGATTGCAGCACAGATTCTTGTCATTTGGCCACCAGAGCTCCCTAGAAAGTGGTTAGTAGATTAAAAACGTATACCTTTTGGTTGACAGCATAATTCTTTACCACTAAGCCACCAGAGCTCCTCCTTTGTGATTAACTGCCTCTGAAAATTCTCTGGAGGATCAGCTATGGGTTGGTTCTGACTTGATCATAAACAAAACAACAATATGGGAGCTGGTGATAAATTCTTCAAATGAAAATAAATGGTGGTGCATGTGGAGTTGTATTGTTTGTAGAAGTTAGAGAACGTCAGAAGGAAACATCTGAAGAAAGATTTTAACAAAATGCTGGATTGAGCCACATGATTTTGTAGAAGAGTACTTTAGGCCAGAAAACAATGCAAAGGCTGGAGAGTTGGAGCTGAATCAAGTAGAGCAGATGGACTAGAATAGGAGTTGGGAACTGTAACAGATCTTTACTGGAAAGGATTCTCTTTGCATGGGAAAAAGATGACAGTGGAACAAAATGATATAATTTGACTTATAACTTAAAAGATGACGCTGTCTGTAATGGTTAGCCTAGAAGCAAAAATACATTAAAAAGCAAAAGGAGATGTCAGGTATGGAGGTGATTACCTAAGTCTAAGAAGAGATGCTACATGCCTGGAGTAGGACAGTAGCAGTAGAAGTGGTTAAGATATGGTCTGACTCTAGATATATTATGAGGGAGAATTGCTAATGATTAGGATGGGTAGGGTGTAAGTAAAAAAAAAAATCAAAGAATACAGCACGTTTTGTTTTTCTTAACTAACTGAAAGAACATATTTTCCACTTAATAAAATTGTGAAGAGTAAAGAATAAATAACTTTAGGACAAGAGAGAAAAAAAGAGTAGAATCAAGAGTTCACTTCTTGGACAAATAGTGCACAACATTGCTGTTATAAAATAGGATGGGATGGGGGTTGGGGAGATAATGAGGAAAGAGTGGATAGATAATGAACAGTAGAACAGATGAGGGGAAGAACTGTCCACAAGGAATATACGATTAGATATTATATGTGTGACAATAATCTGGAACAAGAGATTCCTTGCAGGATAGGCTAGGGAAGTGGGGAGAAGAGAAAGAAAATGTGCAAAATGAATAAAAAAAAGTTTGTTAAAAAAGAGTTTGATTTTCCATTTGGCAACAATTCATCTTTTGGATATAGAGCATATATAGGAGATAGATATAGATGATCTAGATCTAGATCTAGATCTAGATCGAGATCGAGATCTAGATCGAGATCAAGAGAGAGAGAGAGAGATAATTATTGTAGGAGAAGAATGGAAAAATCTCCTCCTGTGAGATTAACTGTCTCTGAAAAGAGAGTGGAGGCCAGCTATGAGTTGATTTCAACTCAGTGGGACTCAACAACAACGAAGATCTATCTTAGGTATGTAGGTAGGTAGGTAGGTAGATAAAGTATATATTATGCATTTTGATATACATATATATTATACATAAAGATAATGGTTTCCCATTGTGGACAGTGTTTGGTGGACCTCCTAGCTGTAAAACAGGTTGGGAAGCAGGAGTAGCATCCACTGCCTAAACTGCACACCTCTGGAAACTCTATGAACTTGGAGAAACAACAATAGCTATGGAAAGGCATTAGGTCTTTTGTTTATAGAGTCTCTATGAGTTGACCTCCACTCAATGGCAATCAACAACAACATATATAAAGATCTAGCTCAAGGAAGATTTCAAAAGGCAGCTCAAGAGGAAAAAGCAAAGTATTATAATGGATTGTGCAGTAAGTTGAAAGTGGAGAATAAAAAGGGAAGAACTTGCTCTGTATTTCTCAAGTTGAGAGAACGGAAAAGGAAATTTAGATCTCAAGTCACAATACTGAAAGAGAATACATAGAATCACTGTACCAAAAAGAACTGATTAACGCTAAAATATTTGAAGAAGTACCATACAAGCAGGAACCAATGGTAATGAAGGAGGAAGTGGAAGCCGCCCAGGAATTGACAGGATGCCAATTGATTTCTTTCATTTGACAGATGCATTTAACTGGATGCTCTCATCAGTCTATGCTAGGAAATTTGGAAGACAGCTATCTGGCCAAGGGATTAGAAGTCTATATTTGTTCCTATTCACAAGAAAGACGATCCAGCAAATGTGGAAACTATTTAACAGTATCATTAATATCACATGCAAGCCAAATACTGAAGATCATTCAAAAACAGCTAGAACAGTACATAGATAGGGAACTGCCAGAAGTTGAAGGAGGATTTATAAGAGGTGGTGGCTCCAGGATATCACTGCTGACATCTGATGGGTCCTGGCTGAAAGTATAGAATACCAGAAGAATGTCTGTTTGTGCTTTATTGACTATGCAAAGGCATTTGACAGTGTGGATCATAATAAATTGTGTCTGACACTGAGAAGAATAGGAGTCCCAGAATACTTAATTGTGCATGTGTGAAACCTATACCTGGGCCAGGAGGCTGTTGTGTGTACAAAGCAGGGAAATACTTCATGGTTTAAAATTAAGAAGAGAATGAGTCAGTGGTTGTATTTTCTTGCCATACTTATTTAATCTGTATGAGGAGCAAATTATTCAAGGAGCTTAACTTTATGCAGAGAAATGTGGCATCAAGATTGGTGAGAGACTCATCAATAACCTGTTATGCAGATGACACAGCTTTGCTTACTGAAAGTGAGTAGTACTTAAAGCACTTGTTGGAGAAGATCATGGAAGGAACTCTTCAATATGATTGCATCTCAATGTTAAGAAAACAAAGATTCTTACCACTAGACTGATAGGCAACATCATGATGGATGGAGAAGAGATTCAAACTGTCAGCAACTTAATTTTATTTGGATCCACAATTAACACCCTGAATAACAGAAGTCAGGAAATCAGGAGATACATTGCACTGGGAAAGTCTGCAGTTAGGGACCTCTCCAAATTATTGAGAAATCATGATATAAGTTTGAGTACTAAGGTGCATCTGATTCAGGCCAAGGTCTTTCAAATAAGTTGCTACATATCTGAGAGCTAGACAATGAATAAGGATGATAGAAGAATTGATGCCTTTGAGCTATGGTGTTGGAGAAGAGCACTGTCATTCCATGGACCATCAAAAGAACCAACAAATATGCCTTGGAGAAGGTGCAGCCTGAGTATTCTTTGGAGGCAAGGATGATGAGGCTTTGCCTCATATACTTCAGGCACGTTGCTCAGAGGCACTATTCCTTGGAAAGGGACATGATACTTGGAAGGCTGGAGCATCAGCAAAAGAGAAGAAGACCCTCAACCAGGTGGGTTGACAGAGTGATTGCTGCAATGGACTCTAGTGTGTGAGGAAGTGTGAAGATGGTACAAGATAGGACAGGGTTCAGATATACTGTTCATAGAGTCACTATGAGTCATAACTCAATGGCACCACCATAACAACATATGTAAAGATTATATAAATGTATATGGAGGGGAAGAGAGAGAGAGAGAGAGAGAGAGAGAGAGAGAGAGGAGACACATACCTGCTAATGAAAAAATTGGAGGGTTAAGTGTAAACAGAAGCACCTTGAAACTTTCAGAAATTAAGCTAGCTAAAACCCTGCGCACGTAAACTCTGACACAAATAAGGTCACCATCAAGAAAGTCAATTTGATAGCAACTGATGTTGGTGGTCATTATATATAATTTACTGTCAAGTATGCTGTTGTTAAGTGCCATCGAGTGCAGTATAAGTCTTAGTGACCCTATTAACAACAGATGTGAACCCTGTCCTATCCTATGCTATCTTCACTATCCCTGATTTATTAAATTCCATTGCTGTAGACACTGCGTCAATCTTTCTCTTTTCTTAAAACAAATATTTTATACTGATTTATTTACAAAGTTTGAATACATTGTTTTTCACAGTGTTTTTTTTTTCACTTCCTTCATCTCCCCCTCCATCCATCAAATTGTGCGACCCTATGATTAACACCCCCACACTCTACTCATCATCACCCCTCTGCTCCACCCCTCTTTGGATTCTCATACTCATTCTATAATAATGTTGTTACAGAGCTGAGTTACTTCACTTAGCATAGTGCTCTCCAAACCCTCCCAACTTAGGTAGTAATTTAAAAAAATCATTGTTCTTATGTTCTGCATAGTATTCCATTATGTAAATGTACCATAATTTCTCAATCTGTTTTATATACAAAAACCTCTGGGATACAGCTAAGGCAGTCCTCAGGGGGCAATTCACAGCAATAGCCACACATAAAAAAGGAAGAAAGAAAAATCAATGATCTAACTAAACACTTTCATCAAGTAGAAAAACAACAAACTAATCCTACATTCTCTAAAAGAAAAGAAACTATAAGGATAAGAGCTGAAATCAATGAGATAGAAAACAGAAAAACAATTGAAATCATGAATAATACCAGGAACTGGTCTTTCAAAGGGTCAATACAATTGGCAAGCTTAAAAAAATAAAAGACGGCAGGGCAAGCTGTGTGTTCAGCCCCAGGTGGGTGGTGGGGCAAGCTGTGTGTTTGGCCTCCAGGGGGGAGAACCAGCCCGGCCCTCGGGGTGAGTTCCTTAGCCCTCGGATTGTACCATCTGAGCTCTGGGTAGAAAAAACTGTCTAGGATATACAGAGAATTTTATCAAGGTTACTTTCCTCCACTCCTCTCCTCTAGTACACCCATAACACCCCCAAAAGCCCTTCTATGTGTAACTCATAAGTTTGTTCTCTCTAAATTTGCTGCCTTTTCTATAGGTAAACTTAACACTGAGTTTTACTCCAGATCTGACCCTGAACCCAGTTCTAGAGACAAAAAGGAAATACAATGGCCAGTTAAGGAAACAAAGGAGGATGGAGCCTCAGGGTTCAGTCAGCCATCCCTACTAGACCCACCTGGGAAAACACTTTGCAGTCCAGAGGGGAGTAAATGTCAGGAAACCATCTTCTTACAGAACTAGAAGGTACGCAGCTTCTACCCAAGACTACCAGTAAGGTGATAAAGTGTGCTCCCTTTCTCCCTTCACATCAATGCCCCTGATCAGCATGAAGAAGCCAGAGAGTCTGCGCCCAATTCCCAAATGAGAAACCCACAAGTGAAAAAGACAGTTTGTTTAATCACCATTGGACTATGCTTACCATTGTCCTGAATCATCTGGTCCCCACTGGATCCTTTTCATTTCCTTCACCTGCTCCCCCCACCAACCAAATTGTGCAGTCTTGCAACTGCATCCCTGCAATTTTCATCCCTGTCCATTCTCACCCTTCTGTTCCCAACCCTCACCTCTGTGTATCCCCAACATGTTTTTCCCAATAAAATTTAAAATAAATGAATGAATGAATGAATGAATGAATGAATAGATAGATAAGATAGATAGATAAAAAATATAAAAGAGAAGACAGACAGGGAGCTCTGGTGGCCTAGTGGCAAAAAATGCTGCACTGCAACCCCAGAGGTATGTGGTTTGAATCCACTGGATATTCTGCTGGAGAAGGAGGGGCAATCTCCTCCTGTACCAGTCAGATCTAATTTGACGGTACATACACAAAAAAATAATAAAATAATTTTTTTTAAAAAGAGAAGACACAGATAACTTCATTAAGAAATTAGAGGTGACATCACAACAGAATCAGATGAAATTTAATAAAAAAATATCAGAATATGATGAAAAGCTATTCTCTGATAAATTCAAAAACCTAGAGGAAATGAACAAATTATTTGAAACTCATGGTCTACCCAGTTTGACAAGGACAGATATAGAACACTTGAACAGACCCATTACAAAAGAAAAAAAAATTGAACAGACCATAAAAAGAGTTCCCCATAAGAAATCTTTCTTATTGAGGGTCTTTCTTTCTTTCACTGACCCTCCACTTTTACAAGCATGATGTCCTTTTCCAACATGCCTAGGGGAGCCTTGGTGGTTTAGTGATGAAGAACTGTACAGCCAAAACAAAGGCATATGGCTTGAATCCACCAGTGGCTCTCCAGGAGAAAGATGGGTAAAATCCCCCAACAATTTACTGTCTCTGAGAACTTACTGGAGGGTCAGCTATGGGTAAGTTCCAACTCAATGGTACATAACAACAACATGCCCAAAGTATGTGAAGTGAAGCTTTACCATCCTTCCCTTCATGAAGCACTCTGGCTGTACTTGCTTCAAGACATATGTGTTTGTTCTTTTGTCAGTCCATGGAATATTCAGTATTTTCCTCCAACACCACAATTCAAGGCATCAATCTTTCTCTGTCATTATTGCTCATTTTCCAGATCTCAGATGCATAGCAAATTATTGAAAAGGCTATGGCTTCAGTCATGTGCACCTCATCTTGAAGCTGACATCATTGCTCTCCTGTACTTTGGAGAGGTCTCTGACAGCAGACATCCCCAGTGCAACACTTCTTTTATTTTCTTGACTGCTGTTACTAATGGATGCAATCAAGATGAAATCTTAGACAACTTCAATTATTTCTTTATCTAGTGTGATGTCACCTATTGGCCCAGTGGTGAGTATCTTTGTTTGTTTGACGTTTTTTTTATATTGAGATGTAAACCATATTGAAGGTTGTAGTGTTTTATCTTCTGCAGCAATTATTTCAAGTTCTTCTAACTTTCATAAAGCAAGGTTTCAATATCTACATAATGAAGTCCATTATGAGTCATCCTCCAATTCTCTTAACACATTCTTCTCACAAAGTTCAGCTTCTGAATTATTTATTCAGCATACAGACTGAATAGATACAAAGAGAAGAAACAACCTTGACATACACCTTTCTTGATCTTAATCCATGCAGTGCTCCCTTGTTCTGTTTGGGCAAAACCTTCTTGAATTAGGTATAAGTTTTGTATAAGAACAATTAAGTGTACTGGGATTCCCATTCTTTTCAATATCAACCATATTTTGTTATGATACATAAAAGCAAATGCCTTTGCATAGTTATATACATTCTTCTGGTAATCCCTACTTCCAGCCAAGATTCATCTAACATCGACAACGATATCTCTGGTGCCATGGCCTCATGGCGTCTTCCAAACTCATCTTGAATTTCTGGAAGCTCTCTCTTAATGTACTCTTCTAGCCATTTTTGGATGATCTTCAATAATATTTTACTTCCATCTGATATTAATGCTATTGGTTGATAATCTCCACATTCTGTTAGATGATCATTCTTGGGAATGGGAACAAACAGGGAAGATACCTTGTCTAGTCATTTGGCCAGGTAGCTATCTTCCAAATTTCCTGGTACAGACAGATGAGCACATCCATGGCTTCATTTGTTAGATGAAACCTCAAATGGTATCCCATTGATTCCTGGTGCCTTGTTTTTTGCTAATGCCTTCAACGTCACTTGGACTTCTTCCCTCATCACCATTGGCTCTTGATCATATGCTATGTCTTGAAATATTTCAGTGTTGACTAATACTTTTTGGTACAGGGACTCTGTCTGTTCCCTTCATTTTCTTCTCTTTTTTAAAAAAAACTTTTAAAATATGCACATATAAAAATACACAAGGAAAGAAAGATGTTGGGAGTTAAGGGAAGAAAGTGAATGGAGGAAGTATTAATTTGCTAGTTGTCAGAGGCTTAGAGCATGGCTGAGCATGTGTAGAGAGTCATACAAATAGTTTAATCTTAGAAGTAGATTTTTCCTGAGGTCTGTTTAGTTCAAAGTTCATTCTCTTAAATGACAGTGCAGATTAATTCAGAGTTCACTCTCTTAAATGATGATGCAGACTGTATCTCTTGAGTATGATGAGGATATTTTATGTTCACTTGCTCCCTACCTCTTAAAAGGCATATATAATAGAGGAGGTGATTTTTGTCTACTTTTTATTGTCTAGATTAAAAATCTACTTTAAAAATTGTGTTTTTCAGTTAAATATCTGAGAGGTTTTTAGATATATCAGTGATTGCCTACTTAACATTCATTAAGTTGAGGTTTAGAATTATTCTTGAACTTCACGTTTTGCCACATTTTGAAAAATCTTATCAGAATCAATAGTAGAGCATTTCATATACTGTGCACATTTTCTAATTCACCTAGCTCATATTTCAAGAGCAACATATTCTCGGAGCCAACACTCAAAAGGATGGTTGTAACTAAGGGATTTAGGAAGATTTAAAAAATTTTATTTTGATTGATTTTATATTTCCTTAGAAGGAAGATAACTCTGACTTTAGCTCCCTTGACCTGTTATGGATCCATGCTACCTGTTTATGAGAGGTAGAAACATTTTTATTCTAATAAAATTAAGACTAATTCTTGTATCTACCAAATCACACGTCCTTTAGGAAGAAAATGCTTCTACCCAAAGATGTGGGAGCTGGAGACCCTTTTGCACAAGTTGGGTAGTTTTGTGTTTTTGTTTTTTTCTTTAATCTGGTCTACATCTTCTGCTTCATGGCTCCGGTGCTGCCATAGAAAAGTGACCAATACCCTACAGAGTGAGAAGAAGAAGAAAAAATGAAATGAGAGAGAGAGAAAAAAATTGACAACATTACTCTTGTGAAATGATGCATTGAAGCCTGCTCCGGTTACACTGAAGTCTGAGGTGAACTGAACCAGCATATATTCACCAGTAGATCGAATGGGTCCAGGGACTTCTCTGCCACACAGAACTGCTAGTTCCCGGGCCAAGGTGTTGTCTCCTATGACCAAACAAAAGAAACATCAGCATGAAAACACATGTCTAAGGAATCTACTACATCACCATTTACAACCCAGCCAAAGAGGCTCACACATTTTTACAAAGCTTCCTAGGAGATAATGGGATTCTCAATAAGAAGGAAACCCCAGGGTTACATCATTCTGTCTCCAGCTTATAATGGTGCTGCCTGCCTATTTTCTTTACTCTTTTGTGGGTAAAGTCTACTTTGACAGTTCTCACTATTTGTCTAAAAAACTTGGCTGCCAGTTCTTCCTGGCACTAAAAGTCACAATCTGAGTACTTGAGATTAGGAAGTGATCCAAGGCTACTATTTTTGTGTTAAAGACTCTGGTTGCTGAAAGTCAAGACTGAGAAGAGAAAAGTAGGTTGCTTCTTAAGCCTAGTTCCTTTATTCACATTATGGAGTAATTTACTAAGAAGTGCTTGGCTCCTATATGACCCTTTCTTCAAATTGGACGTTTTATTCCTTTTTGTTGCTGTTGTTGCTAAAAGAACATACACATTTCCATGTGTTGATGAATCAAACATGTAGAAGATTGGAAAAGAAACCGTTCTAGAACATTCCAGCAAGTATGCACTCTTTTTGAGACGTAAAGGATTCCTAAGACACCTTTTACTTGTCTTGTATTTAAATTTCTGTCAAAGCATCTTTTTCTGCACAAACTAGAATGAAGCAAAGAGGATTAAAATAGCCTTGGATGCCTTATCTGGGAAAATGCAGGAAACTTTTTCCCCCTAAGGCAGAGAATTAATAAATACCAAACCAGTGGAAAGCCAAAAATAGAATGTTGGGAAATTTGTCCTCTAAAAAAGTTTAGCAAAGTCCTTTCAAACACAGATCACTACTTATAGCTCAGGAACTGTTAACCACTTTAGCAAGAATTATTTTCTATTTCTGTGATTATAAATGCAGTGGCACAGTTACAAATGCAAAGTGTTTAATATTTCTTGCTAACTTTAGTATTTTTTCACAATTCAATATTTTATCAGAATGGCAACTTTTTTGTGACATAAATTATGTTGTAATTTAAAAAACATATTGCTATGACTTGACTTTTGTTGGTCTCCCTTTCCAAAAAGCTATGTGATGTGAATTATAACTTCTATAATTCAATTTAAGAATGGATTTTCTTTGTTATGTTTATGAGGAAGGACAAGTAGAAGTTGTTGCTTGAGTCAATCTATTTAAGCAAAAATGCAAGCCAGCATATTTCTGTTTGTTAAAGCCATCCATTGATGGTAGTTCTGTGATAGAAGCAGTTGATAACTAAGATATTCAGAGATTCAGTGTCAAAGAGAAATGTATTACAACTATACACATTTTGCACAGTTAGGTCTATAAAAGAGTATCTTAGCTCTACACCCTCTCTTCTGTCTGACCATTATGTCCTCCTTGTTGGTATAGAAAATGTCTCCTTTGAGGCACAGAGTTACATCAGGCACACAGTGTGGATTATTAAGTCAGAGGTAATTTAGCACATTCCTTATATTCTTCAACAATAGAAGCAAATTTTGCCAATCAATGCTACTATTGGCCACAATAAAAAAAAAGCCTGCATGATTATGACTGCATAGAATAAAATGTGTATAAGGGTTGAAATGAAATGGTGATCTTATAGATTTATTTTCCACTGTGACTCTCACCGTCTTTTATTACGAGTTTATCGTAGTTGCATGTCTGGTGAGACTCAATGTCCATGGAAAGGATGTTGAGTTCCACAGTTGAATCAGGAGCCTGAATGAGCCAAGAACAGTCAATTCGATTCTGATAGCTTTCAGGCCAGCCAGGGGAGAAAAGAAACACTGGCGAGTCTCCGGTCCTCAGGAATCCACCACAAGCACCTGTGGAATGAAAAGGAGAGCCTTTAAAATACCTCTGGCTGAAAAAGAATTGCCAAATGTTCTGCTTTAAAGTAAAAAAATCTATAATGAAATGAAAAAAACAAAACGAAAACAAAAAAACCCAAAACCACCACTACCACAAACAAACGCCAAACAACCCTACTTTAAAAAATGTACAAAAAGACAGCTAAGTGTAATTTTCATTTGGAAGATCTAAATGTTCTTTGCTGTTGTTGTGTGCCATCAAATTGGAACGAACTCATAGCTGACCCTCCAGTGGGTTTTCAGAGGCAGTGAATTGCACAGGAGGAGACTGCACATCCTTCTCCTTCAGAGCAGCTGTGGAGTCAAAGCGCTTGCCTTTGGGATTGATGAAGTATCGAATATCTTTAATTTAATAGCATAGTTTCCACACCAACTTATAAGTCACTAGTGCTCTTAAGTCCTTCAGTTTTCTTACAGTCAAAGATAGATGTAGAGACATTTTCTCATACTTGTATGGTTGAGTAAAGCCACCTGGACAAGCTGGGTCAAAGAATTATTATTAAAAAGGGATGTGTCATTTTCAGGAATTCCACTTTCTATAGTAGGTGTCTTTTCCCCTTTTGCTGTGGTCATGGGCAAGGGAACTCTGGTGACTTAAGGGATTTTGCTACAAATCCAAAGGTGAACAGGTTCAACTCCACCAGCTGCTCTATGGGAGAAAGATGGATGATCTCCCACGTGATTTATAGCCTCTGAAACTCAAAGGAGGACCAGTTATGAATCTATTGCTATTTGACAGCAATGAATGACAACAAACAATAGTTGTAAACAATGTCCTAGATTACTATGGCTTCAACAGTCTAAGTTAGGTAAGGATGATGAGAACAAGGCCTCCATTTGTATAGTGAATATTTAGCATGAACAAAAAGAGGACTTTTTGCATTTAGCCAATGAGAATTAGGAGCTGTGATTTTATTTTTTTGTCCACTTAAATCAAGCATTTATAGAACAAATTTCTTAGGAAAGAATTGGTCATTTTTATTTTGTATAGTAAATTATATTTTTAATAGAATGTTTTGCCCAAGTAATTCCTTTTCTAATTTAAAATTCATGCATATAAAAAATATGTCAAGTTTATGAGAATATTATATATGTCTGTGATTTCAATGTTGTCTCTAAATTGTATTTGGTCATCTGGGTTTCTTGCTCTTTGGTAAATAGATTAATATTTTAAGGATGGTTTCACACTTAATGTCATAGAAAAAACTTATAAAGTAAGCTAAAATAAGTTCTAACAATATTAAATAAAAATAAATGAATCCCTGCTGATGTGGATTTCAACAAGTTCACACAAATTGTTGTTGTGTCCCATAGAGCTGGAACTGAATAATAGCTGACCCTTCAGTGGGTTTTCAGAGGCAGTTAATCTCACCTGAGATTTCTCAACTTTGTCCTATGGAATAGCTAGTGAATTCAAATTGCATGCCTTTGGATTGACAGCACAAGACCTAACCACTGAGCCAAAACAAACAGACTAATATATTTAAGATCATTTTAGTCCTAGAATCAGTCCAAAGTATAAATATTCTCAAATGAGAGCCTAGGACCATATGCCTTAGTATACTATTTCAAAGATTTAAGCTTTTATTTGAGAAGTATGGCCTTTTTATTCTATATAGGCTATCAAAATAATAATAAAGATTCAAAATTGATAAAAATATTTTTTCAAGGGAAAGGCATAAACTCTCTCCAAACACAGCTAGCTCACGATTACTCTTAGTAAGAAAATTTAAGATATCTTGGAACCCCCAAAACCACCACTGTTCAATAAGTTTTGCCTCCTTTTAGCCTTCCATTGGCTTTCTAAGGCTGAACATTTTTACTGGAGGCCACTGTTTATCTTTCTCCAAGGGAATAACTGTAGATTTGAAGGGCCAACATTTCAGTTAGCAGTCTGACAAATGTGTCAAATCACATAACCAGGGATATATAGTAAAATGAAATTACACAGTAAAATAAAATTTTTAAAATAAGCTCATTTTACCTGAGATATTAACATTTATAGTCAATTAAGTTGAAAATGAGGCATGTCTAAAGGTACACTTAAAATAAAATACAGGGGGGAAAATATAGTTACATCTGTCCATTAACTAACTTTAACCACTTTGTGTGGACATATGGTAATGTGTCTGTAAGCAAATCCTTAGAGATTCCTAAAGTGATCTCTAGCAGATTATAGATTTGAACCATATGCCTTTGGTATGGCAGTATAGCTCTTTACCTCTAGGCTATCTATAGATATTACAAGTAAAAGATATTGTAGAGCCAACCTCTTCATGAATAAGAAAAATACTATATAAAATCTTCATACTTTCTAAATACAAGTGTTTACATTTTAGAAAATTAGTTTTAATAATTCCTCTCATATATTTAAAAGAATGTTTGACCAAAACCAATTAAAACCAACCAAATTTAAGAACAAGGCAAGGTTCAAACTCCATGAGCTCCATCATTCCACATTCCTTCATTATCAAGCATTCCCACTGGCTCTCACCACTCAAAAATGCCTGTCTGGGAACATTCTGCTGCTTCCCCAATCTCCTCCTATTCTGATACCACATGTTTCTTCATATAGTTTAACTTCTTGAATGATTTGTTCACCATATAGACTGGAAAGGATACAGCCTTCCCCTCTCCCTCCCCAATTAATTCATTGTTGCACTTTTCAACCCTCCCCCCTAGTACACTCCTCTCTTGGAAAAGTAAAAGAAAAATTCTTTCATTGTTTTACAGTCCCTCTCCCCAGGTCCACTCCATTATGCAGCCTTCGCTCTGGAGTCCTGTCATGACAAAAATACCTAACAACATATCCCTTTTAAACTGTTTTCTCCCTCATATGTTTCAGTACAGTATACATTATTGAACCTATCTTTCTCAATCTTCCCCCAGCCCCGAGGTCAGTCCTGTTTTACAACAGTGGCACTATGCAGTATTTGTCCTTTTGTGACTGAGATACTTCATTCAGCATAATGTCCTCCAGGGTCACCATTTTGAATAATATTGCATGAGTCTCTTGTTTTTCAATGCAGTGTAATGTTCCATTGTGTGAATATACCACAGCTTCTCTATTCGCTTGTTGATGGGCACTTAGGTTGTTTCCAACTCCTTGATATTGTGAACAAAGCTGCGATAAACATGAGTGTGCATATATCTGCTTGGATGTCAGTTATGGTCTCTTTGGGGTATATTCCCAGAAGCGGAATTTCTGGGTCAAATGGTATCTCTATTTGCAACTTTTTGAGAAAGTGCCACACAGACTTCCATAGTTGTTGCACCATTTTACACTCCCACCAACAGTGGTTCCAGTTTCTCAACAAGCTCGCCAACATTTGTTGCTTGCTGTTCTGTTAAATTTTGCTATTCTAACTGGGGTGAAATAATATCTCAGAGTTGTTTTAAGGATACAGTCTTAATGCTCACCTTCCTTGATTTTAATCCATTATATATTCTCTTTTTTATTTGGATAACAGCTTCTTGATTTATGTATAGGTTTCATTTTGTTGGTTACCATCAAGTCACACACAACTCATAGCGACATCATGAACAAAAGACCTGAGGCCTTTCTATAGCTATTGTTTCTCCAAGTTCATAAAGTTTCCAGAGGCATGTGGTTCAGGAAGTGGATGCCACTCCTGCTTCCCAACCTGTCTTAAAACTGTCTAAAAAATGGTCTGTCCATTTGCTGTACAGAGGTAACTCATGGTTGCTGTGATGCTGAACACCTCAAATGCTTTGGTTACACATGGTAAACAGTGTTTGGTGGAGCTCCCTGATTAAAACAAGCTTGGAAGCAGGAGTGGCATCCACTCATGAAATAGCTTGCCTCCAGAAACCCTATGAACTTGGAGAAATGATGAAAGTTACACAAGCGTTCAGGTCTTTTGTTCATAGGGTCGCTATGAGTCGTCTACATCTCGGTGGCACTCAACAACAAACAACAACAATTCATATATTTGGGTCCAATTGTGGTGGGACTCAGTGAAATATTAGACAACACATATCTATCCTGGAAAAGAATCCCAGTTATCATCAAACACACCTGTAGCAATGGTGGGTAAAGGTCCAACAGGAGCATCCATTGCAAACCATTCCAGAAGAAATCCTCTTCCTGAGATTGAAGAGTCAGAAAAAAACTGAAATGTCAGTGAATTTCTCGTGGAGATAAAAGATGCAGTCTGGGTACCACAGTAAGCTCCAATTGAGCGGGAATGAGTGCCAAGCCCATCAAAAATCTGCATGCAAAACAGAGATAATAGAACATTATACTTGGGCACAAACATCTTTTTTGTCTTTCATAAAAGAAAGTGAAAAGAATGTCTTACATTATTACAACTTTATTATTATTGAAAAGAAATGGTAAAAGAGCAACTCTCTTATTACAGCTTAAAATTGCCAAAGACCATAAAATAAGATTGCAAAGAATTTAGTGTGTTTTAAAAATTCTTATGTCTTGAATGGAAACTCAATTTGCTCTGTAAAGTTTCACTCAAATCACAATAAAAAAGGGAAAATATTTGTATTTTTGTGGCAGAATTAGATAAATAAACATACTCTATGGATCTATTTGTGTTTTATTGTTGATGCAAAGGCATTTGACTATGTAGATCATAACAAGATATAGCTAACATGAGAAGAATAAGAAATCCAAAACACTTAGTTGGCTCATGTAAAACCAATACTTAGATCAAGAAGCTGTTGTCCAAACAGAGCAAGGGAATATCACAAAATTTAATAACAAGAGGAGAAAATTGTGCAACAATGAGTAAATGAAAATCCATTTCTTTATAAACTGAAAATAAGATCTCATTTTTTTAAAAAAAAGAAAGGTGTGCATCAGAGCTCTATCTTTTCACCATGTTTATGTAATATGTATGCTGAGCAAATCATTAGGGAAGCTTGACTTTATGAAGAAGAGTTTGGCATTATTGGAGGAAGACTTAACGACAATCTACATTATGCAGATGACACACTTTGCTTGCTGAAAGTGAGGAGGACTTGAAATGCCTGCTGCAGAAGATCAAGGACTACAGCCTTCAATGTGGACTGTATCTCAACATTAAGAAGGCAATATTCTCACCACTGGCTACTAGGCTACATTATTATAGATGGAGAAAAGATTGACATTGTTAGTGATTTAATCGTACTTGAATCTGCAATCAACACCCTTGACACCCAGCAGCCAGGCGGTCAGAGGGTGTATTACACTGGGGAAGTCTGCTCTCAAGGACCCCTCCAAGCCATGAAGAGCAATGATGTCAGTTTAAAAACCAAGGTATGTACTATATGTGGAATGACTGGCGCGCTGTGTGTGTGTGTGTGTGTGTGTGTGTGTGTGTGTGTGTGTGTGAAAGAGAGAGAGAGATGGATGCACAACCTTCTTCCCACATGGTTTACTGCATACAGAAAATTCTCTGTTAGAACATCCTTTGGTGTAAAGAATTAAAATCCCTGGTCATTAAAAAAAACAAAACAAAACACCCACACACAACACAAAACTCGAAACAACCAAACAAACCAAAAACCAAGGTATGAGTGATTCAATTCATGATCTTTTCAACTGTGCATCTGAGAGTTGGACAATGAATAAGCATGAAAGGGGAAAAAATGAGAGCTTGAGTCATGGTTTTAGCGAAAAGTACTGAATATCTCATGAACAGCCAAGAGAACAAACAGATATATCTTGGAGAAAGTACAGCCCTAGTGCTTCTTAGAGGCAATGATGATGAAGCTTCAGTTTACATACTTTGGACATGAAGTTAGGAGTACCTATTCTATCTTTGTTTTATTGACTGTGTAAATGTACTTGCCTGTGTGGATCATAATGAACTATGACTAACATTAAAAAGAATGGGAATCCCAGAACACTTAATTGTGCTTCTACTAATTCTATACCTAGACCAAGAAGCTGTTGTCTGAATGAAATAAGTGAACACTGCATAGTTTAAGATCAGGAAAGGTGTGAATCAGGATTGTGTCCTTTCTCCATATGTTTTAAATCTGTATGCTGAGCAAATAATTCATAAATTTAGACTCTTTGAAGAAGAACATGGTAGCAGGATCAGAGGAAAACTCATCAACAATCAGTATTATGCAGATAAGACAACTTTGCTGAAAGTAAGGAGGACTTAAAATGCTTGCTGCAAAATCAAGGACTTGTAATATGTATTACAGCTCAATATCAAGAAAATTAAGGTCCTTATTACTAGGCCAAGTGGCAACATCATGATAGATGGAGAAATGAAGGAAACTGTTCACAATTTCATCTTAGATAAACAATCAATACCAGCAGTCAGGAGATCAGGATACATATTACATTGGTCAAGTCCACTGTCAGATACCTCTTCCAAGATATTTTTTTTAGTATCACTGAGCAAAGATGTTAACTTGAAGACTAAGGTGTGCCTTATTCAGAACCTGATATTTTTAATTATGTGCTATGCAGCTGAAAGCTAGACAATGAATAACAAGTACAGGAGAATTGATGCCTGTGAGTTATGGTGGTGTGAATAAGACTGATTTTCAGACTGCCAAAAGAACAAATAGGGTGAGAAAAAATACATCCAGAGTACTCCTTAGAGTCAAGGATGGTGAAGTTTCATCTTTCATGATTTGGGCATGTTGCTAGAGAAGCTGTTCCTTGGAAAGGAATATCGTGCATGGAAAGGTCGAGTGTTAGCGAAAGAGAAGAGGACCTCCAACAAGATGTATTGACACAGTGACTGCAGCAATGGGCTCAAATATATCAGAGATAATGAAGATGGCATAGGACAGCACAGGGTTTAGGTTTGTTGTTCATAGGATGGAAATAAGTCATCCTCAGCTCAACAGTAATTAACAATAACAGTTTCTTGGAAAGGGGCATCATGCTTGGAAAGGTGGAGGGGCAGCTAGAGAGATGACGACTCACTATTAAATGAATTGACACAATGACAGTGGCAATGGGCTCAAGTACATCAGAGATGATGAGGATTGCACAGGACAGAACAGGGTTCAAGATCTAGTGTTCAAAGGATCACCGTTTGCACACAGTCCAATGGTATCTACCAACAACATGGACTACATAACTTAAACAATGATTTACGGGCACATATGTGGTGAATGTATGTAGGTGACACAACATTGCTCGCTGAAACTGAGGAAGCACTTGTTGTAGAAAGTCAAGGATTATAGTCTTTAATATGGATTGAAGTTCAACATCAAGAAGCGAAAATTCTCACCACTGGGCCTATTGGCAGCACCATAATGGATGGAGAGGAGATTAAGGTTGTCAACTGTTACAGCTCACTCAACTCCACAATCAATACTCATGGCACCAGCAATCAGGAAGTCAAAAGGCGAAATACATTAGGTAAATCTGTTGTACTCTCTTCAGAGTACTGAGAAGCAACCATATCAGTCAAAGAGACTAAGGTATGCCTGACCCAGGCCATGGTCTTTGCAATTACATGCTATGCATTAGAGAGCTGGGCATGACTAAGGATGATAGAAAAAGAATTGACACCTTTGCGTAGTGGTGCTGGAAAAGAGTACTGAGCATACCACGGACCATCAAGAACACAAAAGTAGGTCTGTCTTGGAGAGGTTTCTCTTTGGAGGCTAGGATTTTGAAGCTCTAGCTCACATATTTTGGGCGTGTGGCCAGGAGGGACCGATCCTTAGAGAAGGACATCATGTTTGGAAGGATGGAGAGACAGCTCAGGAGAGGAAGACCTCAGATGAGATGGACTGATATAGTAACTGGGGTAATGGGGTTGGTGTGTCAGAATCAGTGAGACTGGCTCAGGATAGGGTAGGCTTCGGAGCCATTGTACATAGGGTCACTATGGTGACTTGGCACATAACGGTAACGTGTGGTGAAAGTACAAAAGCAGATTAGCTATGCAAAACTAGCACTCTAGGAATACACTTTGAGGACCTCAACAGGAGGCGAAAAAGAAAGGGAAACAATCTGATGAAAGAGGACAGGCTGAACGAGAGAATATGGCCCAGTACTCCAGAGAATGAGAAAACGGCCATGCACACTGGAAGAGTGCCTGTCTCCTCAGAAGGGAAGAAGAATCAACTGAAAACAACAAAAGAATCACTGTTTGGAACAATCAGCATATTCAAAGAACTCTCTAAATCTTATTTATTAGCTTAAAACATCATGTTATCTCTAGGGATTTCAGAGGCACACTTTGAAATTGTTTCTAAATATGCAACATAGAGTATATTCCTTTTTCTGAATATGCGGGTGGATGTTACATAATCATATTTCCTAACCTTCCCTCCAGCTGCTCCTGGATTATTTGGTGCAGATTTACTGAAAGGATTATTATAAAATTGTCTAGTACATCCACTATATAGGCTAAGGTTTGCAAATAATGTAGCAATCATATTTCTGCATGGATGAAGCATCTGTCAAGTACTGGATTTGACACAAGATACAGAATTAATAAGATCTGATAGAAGCCTTCAAGAATCTGGAGCTCTTTCCAGAAGTGACCTAGTAGTCAATATCTAGGCGATAACAATCTCCATTTAAAAAAAAAATATATTTCTACACATCCACTCCCGAAATAGCTTGCCTCTGAAAACGCTATGAACTAGGAGAAACAATGAAATTTATACAAGTGTTAAGGTCTTTCGTTCATAGGGTCTCTATGAGTTGTCTATGACTCGACAATACTTAACAATAACACGTAAATTTTACTTTACTTTGAAATGTATATGTTTTAACAGAAGAATTAACAGGATACTAGAATTTAAGAGTAAATAAACATATAAAGGAGCCCTATTAGTGCAGGGAGAAGGTTTTTAGCAGTCAGGAGATCAGAAGACATATTGCACCGAGAAAGTCTGCACTCAGGGAACTTTCCAAATTACTGAGGAGCAATGATGATAGTCTGAGGACTGCGGAGTGCTTGATTCAGATTATGATCTCTTCAGGTACTTTCTATACATTCGGGAGCTGGACAAGAATAAGAATGCATGATGTGGCTTAATGTAGGCTCTTTTAGCCATTGCCCTAGCCCCCTCTGGTCTCCAGCTATCTTAACTTCTGACACATGGTCTTGAAAATCTCTCTCAGCTGTGGGACTGGGATTAGAGGGAGAGTGCTTCCCACACTAAATGTCAAGGCTTGAGGGAAACTAGAACAAGATCCTGGTTATAGTGAGACACTGGGGACAAGACCTTGGTGATGGTGCAGAGTCTATGATATTGCTATGGAGCAACTGTAGCAAAGTGTGACCAGAGTAGCTCAGAGCTGAGATAAAGGCCACATTTATAGATTTTGGTGTTCTTGCTGGATGACTGAAGGAGAAGCTTTTAACTGCTTAACTAAAACCAGGACTTTTCCTAATTAAAGTTATGTTTTGCTTTTAAGCTGGCCTGTGACTGATAGTCTAAACCTGGACTTGTATTGTAAGATATTCTTTGTCTCTCCCGTTCCCAAATCTATTTTGCTAATAAGCATTTATTCTTGGCACCACAACTGCGAGGAAAGTCCGTGAATCAACAATGAATAAATGAGCATCTTGCTGCTGGTGTGGCTCTAGTGGCACCATGGAGCTGAGCTACTGGCTCTTTGCTTTCTGCTCTGGGACACTGAGAGGCTGTACTATCCTCACTTCCTCTGGCCTTTAAAGAAAGATGCTAATGGCCCTGTGCCCCACGACCCATTTTCTGTTCCTTTCAAAGATGACAGAAGGAAAAAAATAGTGCCTTTGAACTAGTGGTGTTGGATAAAAGTACTGAAGATGCCATCGACTATCTAAAGATCAGACAGATATGCCTTGGAGAAGATGCAGTCAGAGTGCTCCTTGGAGGCAAGGATGTCAAAGCTTTATCTCTCATACTTTGAGCATGTGGCTAGGAAAGGTTATTCCTGAGAGAAGGATATCATGCTTGGAAAGGTAGGGGGACAGTGAAATAGAGGATCTTTAGCCAGATGTATTCACACCAGGTCTGCAGCAATGGGCGCTGGTGTTTCAGAGACTGTGAGGTTTTCACAAGATCTGACAGAGTTCAAATCTGTTGTTCCCAGTGTTACTATGAGTCTTACTAAACTTGATGACACCTATCAACATTAATGTGAGTAGTTTTGGTGGCCTAGTGGTAAGGAGCTAACCTGCCAACCCAAAGACATGCAGCTTGAATCTACCAGCTAGCTACTCTGTGGGAGAAAGATGGGCAATCTCATCCCATGTGCTTTACTGCCTCTGAAAACCCACTGGAGGGTTAGCTATGAGGTGGTTCTGATTGAAGGGTACATAAAATTAAGGTAGTGGTTAAGTGTTCAGCCGCTAACCAAAAAGTCAATGGTTCAAACTCACCTGTCATTCTGTTGGTTTGACATAAAAATTACAAAAACCAAACCAAATCCACTACCATTGAGTGGTTCGAACCCATTGTGTTCCTGTAGGACAGAGTACAGTTCCCACAGGGTTTTCAAATTTGCAACTCTTTATGGAATCAGACTGCCTTATCTTTCTGCTTGGTGGGTCCAAACTGCTGAGATTTTGATTTGAATATCTTGATCACTATGCCATCAGAGTTCCTATTGCAAGGACATTACAGATTGGAAAAACGATGAGACAGCATGATTTTGGTCTACTGGGTCTAGAGGTGGAATTGACTCAAATGCAGTGGAATTTAAGATATGTACTAAGGTACAGACAGAAGCCCAACAGATAAAATACAGTAATGCTAAAAAAGTCTAAATCATGATAGAATAGAGGGTATTAAATGTAACAGCAAAATTGGCTTTGTTTATGCAAATTAGGATATATAATCACAATTTAGGTCAAATCATTCCACATAACCATTCCATGAATACACATTAATATAGGTATAATTTTTTGTCAACAATAATTCACCAAGATACACATGCTGTGACTGTCATATATCAACTCACCATTAATTTATCATAATAACAGTTATGTGTTGCTTCAATGTCTATCTCCAAGATTCTACCATGGATGACTTGAGAGGCATTCACATTTACTATCCATTGGTAATTGGAGTTATGTGGGTAATTTCCAGGCCATAAAGGAGAAGCAATTTTCCCATGAGTTCCCACAATATTGTCATTGCCAAATACTACAAGAAAAAACAGCATAGTAAATAAGACATGCTTAGAATAGCTCTTCAATCAATGAAGGAAACAAAAGGCAAAGGGGTGCTGAAAAGATGGACTCATAATTGACTGATTTCTTTGCTGAACACTTAAAGAAATACTGCTTCCTGTTTGGCTTCAGTGCAGACTATTAATTCCTTGGAGAAGGATGATTCTGTGATGGAATTCTATATCCTTGGAAGGCTGTATAGTGTGAAAAAAATTCCATGCTCTCCCATGTGAATCAGAGTCAAAACCCCAAGGACACTTGAGGACGTGGCAAAGGAAAGTTATTCCCTGACTTTGGTTGACATCTTTAGCTTTAGTCTATTAAAAAATACATTTAAAAAATATTCTGCAACTTAAGAAAAACCAAGAGTTTAGCACCACCAATAGAACAGGTGAAAGTGTTAGTGGCATAGTTCACAGAGATTTGCACTGCTAACCCAAAGAGTGCCTCTCTGGCTGGCCATGTCCACCAGCAGTTTCAGAGGGGGACACAGAAAATCTCCTCTTGTGCAATTTGTAGCCCTGGAAAACCCCCTGGAGGGTCAGCTATGAGTCAGTCAGACTCAATGGCAGTAAATTTGAGTGCTTTGTTAGTAGGTTGCTGTTGTTAGGTTCCATTGATTTGTAACTACTGACTTATAGCTGACCCTCCAGTGGGTTTTCAAAAGCAGTGAATTTCACAAGACAAGACTGCCCACTTTTCTCCCATAGAGCAGCTAGTCCATTCCAGCATTCCAGCCTCATGCTTTTAGGTCGGCAGTACAACTCTTTACCACTAAGGTACTATAGAAAAGTTGAATGTGTGTGTGTGTGTGTGTGTAAATTTTATATCTATCTATCTATCTATCTATCTATCTATCTATCTATCTATCTATCTATTATGTAATGTTATTAGAAGAATACTTTCTTTTTAAGATACATGAACCTATAAATCAAGACCAAAATGACACTATTCTTTTTTAATTTGAGGAGTAAAGTTCTTAAATGTATGAGAGCTAACTATATATAAGTGAGGCATAATTTTTTTATGTAATTCAATGAGAAAATCTTAGCTCTGGAGTCTAAACTAAATACACAAAAAGACCCTAACAAAATATCATAAAATATTCCACATTAGCAGGGAGTCAGGAAGACCCCTGGCTTACTGAATTGTCCCCATGTGGGGGTTAAGGAAGCAACTAGTCTGGACCTAGCCACTGATGGCTGAGGATGAGTTGACCAGAACTCAACCAGATGAAGAGAAGATGACCCATGCTGTGAACTAGGGCTGAATGCTTGCTCTGGATTGGACAATGCTTGGGGATGCAGATGCTCAGAATAGCCAAACTGAACAAAAGATTATTCAGCAAAAGGCTCATCCTTATTTCCTCAGAGTACTGGTTTGATAGGGATGGACAAATCAGAAATTGGCTATCTAAAATGGAGATATTAAGGCATGAGTTATGAAGTAGCTGGCTTACGTGCTTTTACAAAAGTAGTTATTAGTAAGATGACTGTAAAGGTTAAACACAATGTAACAAGAAATAAGATGTAAATTAAAGATTGACTAAAACATAATGTACATTCATGAAACACAATTTGCACGAATGACTGTATGCAAACCAATAGAAAGAAATATATTTTAAAATTCCGTATTAACTAGAAATTAATGGTTAAAAAGAATGTTAGAACCATATAGAACCTTCTTTTTTGCTTTTTAATGAGCCAACACCTAATATTAAATTCTTCTTACATATTTTATAGTAAGCTCATTCTACAGATATTATTTATACAAACAAAAGAAATATTTAGAGTAAAGGATAGTTCTTGCATCACTGCAAAATTTATATATTTTCATTTGTAGGCACTATTTGGAGGATATTATGAAAAGAGAATCTACTTACTTTTAACAAATGTGGCCTGGAAGCCTATGTCACTGCCTGAACCATCTGAGACAAAACGGACCCACAGGATGTGCCCAACAACAGAGGAGTAGTTGAAAGGGAGAATGTTGCCACAGTGTCGCCCCACCAAGTGGCCTGTGGCATTTCCTTCCCGGATCTCCACAAAATCTTTGTTACAATCCTCAGAGTCCTCCAATTGGAAAGTTCTGAATTGAAAGGGATAGAAAAACAAAAACAAAAAACAGGGGAATTAAATTTACAGAGCATGTTGTGAAATTTTGCCAAATAACTGTTTCTCATAACCATCCAGTCTGAACTGATTATAGCTGACCCTGCAACGGGTTTTCAGAGGTTACAATTGCACAAGAGGAGAGTGTCCATCTTTCTCTTGTGGAGCAGCTGGTGGATTCAAACTGTTTGCTTTTAAGTTAGTAATATAACTCTACCCACTAGGTCACCATAGCTCCCTAAATAACTGGTAGGTAGGTCAATCTGTTTAGTTTTAAAGCAACTGTAACATTGATTACAGCATCTTTTAGCCACTTAAAAATTATTTATGGAAATTATTTTTTAAAAATAAATATTAAAAATTATTTTAAAATATTTATTCAATGTCTATTCCAAAGATACAAAGACAATATAGTGCCTTCATGAATTTTCTTTTTAGTTGCAATACTTGGACAAGAATATCCGCACTTAGAAGCTGAACTATTTTAAGTCTTATTAGAACTATGAACTGGTGTAAAATTTCACAGGTAGAAAAATCACAACCAGTAGTGGCTTTCAGTAATAGCTTGATGGAGAGATTCTCGAGAAAGAAATAAACAATAGCTGTGTTTAAGGGAAAGAAATGGCAAGTTGCAATTTGAGTTGGCAAAGTCACATTTGTAGAGAGGGTGGAACCTATTCATAAACTTGTAAAACTGAGTTTCTTCAGCATATTGTGTACCTCTAAGACAACATTAGAGCTGTGACTAGAGCAGTATTATAAGCTTACTTTATATTATCAACTGAGACAAAGCAATCTTAAATGCACACAGAAGCATGTACAGCTAATTCTATTGTTGTTATTAGTCAAATTGGTCTGGTTCAGTAACCCTGTGTTCAACAAAACCAACACTGCCAGGCCCACGGCATCTTCATGATTATTGCTATGTGGGAGTGAATTGTTGCAGCCTCTGTGTGGATCTGTTCCATTAAAAGTTTTCCTCTTTTTCACTGAAACTCTACGTTACCAAGCATGATATTTTTCCAAGTATTGGTTCCTTTTGATAACATACCTGAAATGAGGGGAAATCTCCCCATCCTAAGAGCACTGTAGTTCTCTTCAAGATAAATGTATTCATTTTTGGGGTGTATGTTAGTTCTCAAGGTGAAATCTTTACCTTTTAATACATACAAGAGTTCTTTTCAGCAGATTTTCCTAGTGTGACAGATTGTTTTCCTGACTTCTGCCACCATGGACATTGATGGTAGATTCAAATAAATGAAATCCTGGACAATTTCAGTATTTTTTTCTGTTTATCATGATGTTGTGTATTGGTACAGCTGTGAAAATTTTTGTTTTAATTAAAGTGTAATCCACTGAAGAGTACAGTTTTTGATCTTCCCTAATAAGTGTTTCAAGTCTTCTTTACTTTCAGCAAACACAAGTATGTAATCTTCATATTATAAGGCATTTATGAGTCTTCTCTCTTCCAATCCTGATTCCACATTCTTCATATAGATCAGCTTCTCAGATTATTTTTTCAGCATGTTGTTGCTATTATGTGGCATCGAGTCACCTATAACTCATAGTGACCTTATGTATATTAGCTCTGAACCCTGCTCTAAGCCAATCTCATCATCTCCCACAGACCTAATCCCATTGTTCCAGTTACTATATCAATTCATCTCATTCTTATTCTTCCTCTCCTTTTCTGTTCCTCCACCCTTGCAAGCATGATGTCCTTCTCCAAGGACTCATCCCTGGCCACATGCCCAGAGTATGTGAGGTAAAGCTTCAAAATCCTTGCCTCCAGGGAGGCACTTGGTATCACCCTTTTAAGGACAGATTTGTTTGTTCTCTTGGCAGTCCACAATAGGTGCAACCCTCTTCTTCAATACCACAATTCAAAGGCATTGATTCTTCTTCTATCATCCTTAGTTATCATCCAGCTCTCTGATGCATAGCAAGTGAAGAACATGGCCTGGGTCAGGCATACTTCAGTCTCTAGACTGACACCGTTGCTCTTCAAAATTCTAGAGAGGTCCCTGACAGCAGACTTTTCCAGTGCAATTCATCTTTTGATTTCCTGACTGCTGGTGCCAAGAGTGTTGATTGTGGAACCAAGCAAATTGAAGTTAACAATCTCAATCTCTTCTCTGTTTATCATGAAGCTGCCAATTGGCCCAGTAGAGAGATTCTTTGTTTTCTTGATGTTGAGCATGGTGAAAGACTATAACCCTGACACACACCTATCTTTTTTTTACACCATACATTATCTCCTTGTTTTGTTCAAATGACTACCAATGTACAAGTACAGGTACTATATATACACCTAATTAAGGTTATATAAATCCCATTTTTTTCAATTCTATCCACAAATTTATGATCCTCAAAGTTAGATATCTTTGCATAGTAACAAGAACCAGATAAATTTCTTTCTGGTAGTCTCTATTTTCAACAAAGATCCATCTGACATCAATCATAATAACCCTTGTCTCATGGACTCTTTTAAATATACCTTGGATTTCTGGCAGCTTTTTCTTAATATACTGTTCTAAACCATTATAAAATGGTCGGCAACTTTTATATGTAATGTTAATAACATACTTCAACAATTTCCTCATGCCTTTAGGTTACCTATCTTTGAAAGAAAAAAAGTAGAAATATTATAGAATTTGTATTACACCCTAGTGTTCAAATCCCATTTCTTTTTTTTTTACATTTTTCTTTATTTTACAAATTTTCTACTACTTTATTTACAAAATTTGAATACTTTGAAGCTATAATAATGTGGTCTCTTCAATTTTTTTTTATATTTTCTGCCTGTGACATGACATACAATAATATTTATCTCACAATATTACCATCTATAAAAAGCCTGAAACATGAAAACGCTTTTCAAACTTGACATTTCAAAAAAACTCAGCGCTAATCAAAACAGTGTGCTACTGGTGTAAGGATAAATCAATAAAACAGAAAATAAAGTTTTGAGGAGGATCCAATATAGATACTATCAATTGATTTTTTTTTCATCCAATATGTTAAAACAATTCAATGGGAAAGGCAAAGTTATTTTAACAAATGGTGCTGTAATAACTGGATTTCAGTGGGGTGGAGAGAGACTTCAATCAATATCTCTCTCCATACACAGAAAAGTAATTCAATATTGCTCACAGATCATAAAGCCAGAACTGTAAATCTTATAGAAAACAACATCAAAAAATATCTTTGCAACTCGGGGGTATGCAAACATTTCTTGGATACAGTATATTAGATGAAAGGCAAATAAGCTAAAAACAGTAAGAATAATAATTTTACTTATTAGAAGTTAGATATTGTCAGTTTGGCTCCAATTCATAGTGACTTTTTGTAAAAGAAAGAAAGACTATCAACCAGGTGGATCAACACAGTGACTGCCACCATGGGCTCTGGTGTGTCAGGAAGTGTGTGAATGGCATAGGATAGGGCAGGATTCAGCTATTTTGTTCACTATGAGTCAACTTGATGGCACAAACAATAATAGTACTTTAATGTGTCTGTCTCTCTTTTAGGTACCAGGGATATGTTTGTTTAAAAAAAAAAGGTGGGGCAAAAAAAAGGTCACTGTAGAGAAGAGAAAATAAAAGACAAATATTTTATAAATCATTAGAGTTTCTACACATCAGCAAACTAAAATTTAGAAACCATAGCTTAGCCAAAACTCATATGACAAATTTACAGTATTGTCAGAAATGTTAACTGCTACAGGGATTACGGTTAAAACATAAAGAAAATAAACATTTTTCTTCCCTTCAGGGAGCATATGTTCTACATAATCAGATAATTAATGCACATATAGAAATATAATGTCTGGTAATGAAAAGATAGGAGAATTAATACATTCAAACTAAGTTGTTGGCAAAGATTTTGAATGTACTAGATTGCCAGCAGAGCAAACTTAATTTGTTTTAGAAGAAATTCATCTAGAAGTCTATTTAGAATGAGGAAGGTAGGACTTCCATTAGTTACTATGACATGCCTTCAAGAAAAGGTCATCGTTAGAAAAGACCAAATCAGCATGTTTGGTAGAGCAGATGACCAGTGAAAAACAAGGAGAACCTTCAGTAAGATGGATCAACACAGTAGCCACAATGGTGCACTCAAATATACCAGTGACTGTGTGGATGGAGCAAGGCCAGGCAATGTTGTGTTCTGTTATACATAAGATCACCATGAGGGGGAATTGATTCAACAGCAAGTAACAACTGTAATAACTATTAGAAACTAGAATAAGGTGAAGCTGTGTTAGGGTTGTCATGTGAAATTTAGCAAGATGTCACCATGTATATTAAGATCACTGGTCCAGAAAAATTACTAAATGCAGGTCTTTCTGTTGTTAAGTACCCTGCTGATATAATTTAGTGCTAAATGGCAGACTTAAAAAAACTCATTGACATCTAGTTTAGTTGGAACTGACTGATAGTTGACCATCCAGTATGTTTTCAGAGACTTCGCACCACACCAGGGGAAGAGTGCCCCTTTCTCCCAAGGAGACACTGGTGGATTCAAAGCACCAGAGAGATGCAGCCTTTGGGTTAGGAGCACTACACCTAGTTACCTACACCTCCAGCATAACCTATTGGCAAATAAGAGACACTGTTAAAAGTGGTAATGGGACAATAAGTAAAAGAATAAAATTAAATTTGGGTTTTCAGCTTTATTGTTTTGGAGAAGTCTTTGTTTTAAGTCCAGTGTGGTTTTTTAGCAAATCTGCCATCTTCCCAAATATTTCACTAAGATCTGTTGGCCAAAATGTGGTGTAGAACAAAAACAATACTATGGTTATATTAGATTTTTCTCTTTTTTATCCATGTACTAAGACAAATAGTTTTTATAAAATTACTCTGCAAGCACATTTTCTATTCCTTTAAAATATCTGTTTTATGAAAAATTTCTTTTTCATTTCTGTCGACCCCCTTTGTAACTGATTTGTGAAAAATTTCTCCATGGTTTCATCCCTTCTCAATTTCACCACACTGTCTCATGTTTTAGAACTCAATGTGACTCATATGATTCTCATATACTTCTTAAACTCTCCAAGGAAATGTTTCCACACTCCCATCTGGATATGATTTAAACCAAGGCAGAAATAGCATATAGGTTGTGCCATAAAGACCTTCTCATTATCATCACAAAGAGAAACATTTTATATTTCATACAACTACTTTTTTTAAAAAAATTAACTCAGACAAGGAACACAAAGTAATAAAAATTTAAATGTTATGGATGAGGAAGGAAATAGCTGAGTCATTAAGATTTTTCTATAAAGTGATTGAAAATCCAGTGCATAGTTCATCTATGACACATACGGGTCTCCATGAGTCAGAAATGATTCAATAGCAACTGGGTTTTCTTTTGTTAAATTAGATTTAGTGTCCATTAAACAATAAAATAGAGAAAATTTTGTGCTTCTTCTAGAAGGATAGTCCATTATCTATTAGGTTGTCTTTGTGTGCTAAGCTAGAGACTATTTCAAAAGCTACTTTAAAATGCTTAAAAATGAAAAAAAAAAAACAAGTTAACAGGATTTAAGAGAACATCTACCACATTCTAGTCTTGTGCCTGACATTTTGTATTTGACTTTGTCTTTGATCTTAAGAAAGGATTCCTGTCAAGTTGTGAATTGTAAGGTTTGTGGTTTGAATCTACCAATCCATCTGTGAGAAAAGAATGGGCAGTCTTCTCCTATAAATATTTACACTCTCAGAAACTCCATGGATGGCTGCTATCAGCTAGAATTGACTTGATGGCAGTATTTTATAACACTAATCATCATTTTGTTTGCTGTTATTATGGTCCCTTTAGAGATAAAATGAGCTTTGGTGGTAGTCTACTGTGCATTATACCGTTAACTGTAAGGCTCTGTGTCTCTTGTGGTCTGAATCCATCAGAAGCTTCATAGGAGAAAGATGGACTGTCTCTTCCCTTTTAATTTAAAGCCTCAGAAACTCAAAGGGTTACTATGAATTTAAACAAACTCAATGGCAGTACTTTTTTATTGTTTTGTTTCTAAAATCCACTCAGAATTGCCTGTGACTCATAGTGACCCTGTGTACATAAGCTGCCCTGTCTGGCGCCAATCTCATTATCTCCAATAGACCCAATGCTATTGTTCCAGTCACTTAGTCAATCTATCTCATCCTGGGTCTTCTTCTTCTGCTCTGTCCCTCCACCCTTGTAAGCATGATGTTCTTCTCCAAGGACTGATCCCTCCTGGCCACATGCCTAAAGTATGTGAGACAGAGCTTCAAAATCCTTGCCTCCGGGGAGCAGTTTGGTGTTTCACCCTCTGCGTGACAGACTGCCAATAGGCCCAGTGATGAGAATTTTCTTTTCCTTGATGTTGAGTTTCAATCCATATTGAAACTAAGAATATGGAGGAGCCCTATTGCTAATTTGATATCCATAGCTAATATTCTAAAAGTCTTACAGATGAATAAGAAACATGAGTGTGATTTTACCAATCAACTTCAATATTACAAAATCATTCTTCTGGTTCTGGTACAAGGAAAAGTGGGGATGTGGTGGGCATATGGTCAGATGATCTAGATAAAAAAACTTTGGTGGCATAGCATGGCACTCTGCTAATGGAAAGGCTGGTTGTTGGAATCCACTAACTAACCTGTATGTGAGAGAAAGATAGACAGTCTTCTTTCATAAACATGCACAGCCGTGAGCCTTGCTGAGGGTCACCGGGAGTCAGAACTGATGTGACAGTAGTAGGTTTCATTTTATTTATTTGTTTTGAATTTATAGGTAAAGCCTAAATGAAACAGTGATTTTTCTGCTGGGAGAAAGAATGTCTAGAATTCTCTAAAGGAGTCCAAGTACTTGGAATTCTCAGAAAATACCAAAAACTACTGTTCTTTGGACATAAAGTTTCCACAAGTAAATTTACTAAGCACTTTATATATCTGCTGCTGCTAGCAATAGGTAGGACTCAACAAACTATTCTCCTGAGAACCTCAATGCTTTTTATAACCAGAACGATGACTAATACGGAGGAAAATGTGAAAATAAACTTCGTGAGGTCTCCCCACCCCCCAATTCCTTTAAGAGTTCCTTGGACACATATGCTGTTTGTTGTCCATCCTATTAGTAACCACAGCTTCCTTCCTGCAGGTTCATGAACACTGAAACAATACACCATTAAAAACAAACAAACAAAAAAAGGATTTACATGAAAGACAACTGGAGCTGGTTGCCAGGGGAACTGACCAAGTTCCAGACACACTCTATGTTAGAAGGATAATTTTCTGGGTATCCAGGGCTATTGAAGGTGCCCTCAGCCATGTGGAAGGTCCCACCACAAGCTGGAAAGAAAGGAAAGGAAAGTAAGTGCCAGCACAATGTTGACTGCGAGACACCACAACATGCCTAATTACCTTTACATCATAACATTTACTAACTTGTGCCATGTAGGACAATCATCAGTGACTGAACAGAAGGACTCTCTTTGACATCTGAAAGCCTTTTCCTTTTGTGAATTGCAATATTTAGGAATAAAAGACTTATTTTAATTAGTGTTTCTGCTCAAGATTGTCTTCACCCCTAGCATAGAAGAGAACGTTTTGCTTTTCCCTGTCACAAGACACAAACACATTCTAGGTGTTCGAAGGCATTTCACTGCTAACGAGAAATCCATCAGCTGATAATCAAGTACATTCTTGGTTTAATGTCATCCTTCTTCACTTCCTATGGGCCAGTGCTATTAACGACAGTAAATCCAGCCCGGGTCGAGCAGCGAGGCTGCTGACACTAGAGAATAGCCACATGGTTGGCATTCCTAAGAGTACCTTTGAGAACATTAGCCAGGGGCTGCCTTAGCTATCACTTCACTGCGGAGAAGAGCAAGACGCAGGTGAGCAGGCTGTCCCAGATAGTACCATCACTGGAGTTAGCCTAAAAGGAGAGCAGATTGCCAACCAATTCTCCCTTCTAATTCACACTTAGAAATTGTATCAGACTTAATTTGGAAGATCACAGAGGTGACCTCAGGAAATGGAACCCCTAAATTTAAAAATGGGCCTCGGTGCAGGGTGGAGTACTTGCTGCAGGATGGTTGTCTGGCCTAGGAGCACAACACAGGCTGTAAGCATAGGCCTTTCAGCTATTGCCAGTCCAGCAACTCTACACTTTGTGTAGGCTGAGGGTTACCACACTGCAATGCCAGGTCTCATGGAGGCGCTGGAGGAGAATAAGCCCACCAGTTTGACCAGGGATTTCCTGGATATGGTGGATCCTGATGGCCACCTAGTTTAGGCCCAGTACTGGGGGAGGGGACAGTCGGCCAAGTTGTTCAATCAGGGATTGGAGTACATTTATGTCTCTTGTGCTCCTTCTGCTGCTGCCCCCTAGAGGCCACATTAAAAACCTCTCCTGAACAATCTACTGAGATTCCAGGAGGAGAGTTGACTGACTTCTCCAGGAATGGGCCAAGGGCCCACCAAGCTTGCTGAGGAGCATCATTGGGTATTCCACCTCAGATACAAGGTTGCGTACTAGGCAGGTGGCAGGGACCTGCTGTGAGGTCTACTACCCCACCCCATCTAAGAAAAGCAGCTTCTTTCTCTACCTCTTAACAATTATTACTCATCAGACACTCTGTGCATTATGAACACGTGCTGAGCAAGTTACAAGTACCAGGCTTGCCTTGGCTCACACTCAATATAAACTCAACTCACCACAGTCAAGCTGGTTCAGACTCTTAACAACGCTCCACTGGGTTTCTGAGGCTGTAAATCTTAAATCAAGGACTACAGAGCAATTCACTGCATACTTCATCACCCGAGCTCCAATAGTAATGGAAAACATAAACTTTGTGGGCTTTCTTTTTATGTTTTAAATGACAAGCCAAGGCTTTCTGCCACATTTCTGTTAATCTAATGGAGCCATTTACGGATCCCTGTTACCTGATGATGATGCAGCATATGAAGCATGAAAACCACTGGCGCTCCCACTAGAATCAGAGACGAACCGCAACGTTAGGGCGTTGCTGAACGAAGTGACAGGATGCGGCATGGCTGTGCCACAGTAACGGCCTATAGGTGAAGAGAACAGCGAGAAATGAACGAGGCAGAGGCAGAGCACACTGTGTCTAGGACGCATACTTTTAATGACAAAGGACCAAAGTAAACAGAAGAATTCACCATCAGGACAATCATCTAGATCAAAGCCCATGTTTGACAAAATACCTGAGAAAAACAAACTAGAAGTGCAATCACAGCAAGACTATTTAGAAACATGATGAAAAACCATTAGAGGATCATAAGGGGGAAAATGTAGATGCTCTGGCTTCCACCGTGACTTAAATACTCTCTCTGGTACTGTGGAAGCCTTCCTAAATAAATAAGCTAATGCTCAGAAACAATAGATTTTAGCAGAGAAAGTGTGAGGATACTGGGGCCAGGCGACCCAGGTTTGACTCCTGGCTCAGCATTTACTACGTATGTGAACTGTTGTTATTATGAATCGTGAAGTCAGAGTCTACTCACAGGGGACCCTCCAGTGGGTTTTCAGAGAAAATTGATCGCATGGAAGGAGATTGCTTATCTTTATTTTCCATAGAGCAGGTGATGGATTAAAATCAAGTGTTGGCAGGACAACCCCTTACCACGAAGTCACCAGAACTCCTTGTAGAAAATGAATTACATGTTCTGTGCTTTAGTTTCTCTACTTGCCAAAAAGATAGATAAGTATTAATAATACTTGTACCATGCTGTTGTTGTTATGTGCCATCAAGTCACTTGTGACTCATAGCAATCCTATGCACAACAGCACTAAACCCTTTCCTATCCTGAGCCAAACTCACTGTCTCCAACACATTTACCCCTATTATCCCAGTTACTGGGTTAGTCCATCTCATCTAGGATCTTCCTCTCCTGTACTATCCCTCTACCTTTCCAAACATGATGTCCTTCTCCAAGGACTGGCCTCTCCTGGCAACATTACCAAGTACATGAGATAGGATTTCAAGACCCTTGCCTCTGGAAGCAACTTTGTTTCACTCTCTCCAGGATAGACCTATAAGTTCTCTTGGTAGCCCATGGTATATTCAATATTTTTCTCTAGCACCATAGCGCAAAGGCATCAATTCTTCTCTCATCCTTAGTTATTGTGTAGCTCCTTGACGTATAGCAAGTAATTGGGGAAAACGATGGCCTGGGTCAAGTGCACCTTAGTCTCCAGACTGAAATTATTGCTCTTCAGCACTTTGGAGTGGTCTTTGACAGCAGATTTTCCTAATGCAACTCGTCTTTTGATTTTCTGACTGCTGGTGCCGAGAATATTGATTATGAAACTTACATCATAAAGGTGTGGAAATTGAATTACTATTTAGAAAATGTTTCAATGGTATTTGGCACAAGGTAAGTGGTATATATGTGTTTGTTAAATAATAAACCCTTATTCCTGATCAAATTCTTGCTGATAAGGATCTCAAATAGTAAAATCAGAGGTCAGAGACTAAAACATTCACTTATTTGCACACTACAGTCTCAGGCACTGGGAATGAAGCAATGGGCAAAACCAAGTCTCTTGGACAGGGTTTATACACTAGTGGATCAAGAGCAGCCAGTACTAAAAAGCTCAAAAATTACTATGTTTATAAAGAAAGTGTAAATATGCTGGAACACCCCCCGCCCCCCCCCCCGGGTACTGTCATGAGGCTGTCCCCTGTGGTTGATTTTTAAAAACAGCTTGACTAGCCATTGCCTTTGTCTTTTACTACATGGCTGAGTGGGACTGTGTTCATATGAATGAGGTGATAGGATAGGAACAAGGAAATAAGGTATACAGAATACAAATGAGGGGATTGGCCAGTTTTGCCATCTTTCCAGGTTTAAATTGAACAGGTAAAGTGGCAGAATCTTTCTTGGAGCAAGAAGGAAGCAGCAGAGAGTCCAGCAAGAGTCTGACCAGGATCTAGATGAGAGCACCAGAAGATACAGCACCATCAGAGAACCAGAGATCAACCCAGAGTGAGACACAGCGCAACTGGTACTGCAGCCTCACAAAGCCAGAGCCAGTGGCCTTTACTCAAGCTTGTTCTCTCTGGGGAGGCGACGCCCTAATTGGCAGGACCAAGAGAATTTTGTAACACTGGCCTGAGGCTATAAGGCTCAATGTCAAAAGGCCTATAGTCACGCTTGAGAAGCCGTTCTGCCTAAAGAATTGTATCTTATTTCCAACCTGGATTATAACCTGTAAACTTCCCTAATAAATCTCATAACTGTGAGGATGGTCAGTGAATTCTGGATGGTCATCGAAATAGATTAGACCCATCAGTAGAGCAGCGAGAGCCCTGGGAGGGACATTGGTGTTAGAGTTGGCAGAAGTGGGTTCTGGGAAGTATGGGGGCATTTCTGACCTAAGAGAAATTGGTTTTGTACTGTAGATGGTGCTGACGAGTTCTGTTCCCTCTTGTGGAGTTAGTGAGTGTCAGATGCAAATTGCCTTCATGACACCTGCACTGTCTTTATACGATATTTCAGAAACTGTTCTTGTTCACTGCCACAGTCATCTCTTGAGTCCATGCACAGCAGAAGAAAGCATAGGACTGCCTGATCAGGACACAGATCAGATAGTTGGGATCCACAGGGTTTTCACAGGTTGACTTTCGGAAGTAGATCACCATGCCTTTCTTCCTAGTCTACCTTTTCCTGGAAATCAAATCCATCCCCCTAAGTCAATCCCAACTCCTAGTTGATTTCATAGAACAGAGTAGAACTGATACTGGATTTCCAAGGCTTTAAATCTTCACAATAATAGGTTGCTTCATCTATCTCCTTCTGAACAGTTGGTGGGTTTGAACCACCAACTTCTGGCTAATTCTTTAACCATTATACCATGAGGGCTTCTCTTAGTCTAGAAGCTCCATTGAGAATTGTTTATCATCACAGCCACAGCAAGCCCTGACTGGCAGGTGGGTCTGTGTATGAGGTACATGTCTGAAACAAAATCACAGCAATCTTGAATGACACGGAGATGTCTTACACGTAGAATGACAGTGTCATACTTTTTTCTAGTGAGAACATAGGGATAAGAATATCTTAAATGGTAGAATCCCCCCCCCCAAAAAGAATATCTTAAATGCCAATATAAGAACAAAACCATAGTTATAAAAATAGGGTGGTTATGGGGTGCAGTGGGGGTAGGAAAAGAATGGTGGATAATAATCACTTTACTGAAATAGGTGAAGGGAAAGTCAATGTGAAAGGAATAGGTCATCAGACATTGTGTATATTGCAATTAGGAATGTGGAACCGCATATGCATAATGATAGACTGGGATAAAAAACAAAGGGAAGGTTTTTACACCCATAGAAACAATGATGAAGGGTGAACAAGAATGAAAGGGGAGGGAGAGGGGAGCAGAGATTAGTGAAGGGAATTAGTGAGGGCCAAGGTAGCGTACAGGATCTGATGAGTCCTTATAATAAATGGCATTGATCAATCACAATTAATGTTGTAAAACAAAATGTAGAGGAATGATTGAATGAAAACCAATAATTAACAAAGAATTTTGGTAAAAATGTAAGAAATTTCTGATGGACTATTACCTATGGTTAAGAGCAACTGCATTTTACTACTGTCTTAAAAGTTGCAACCCTTTATTTTTAAAGCATACGTCAACTGTTCGTTTGCCTTGAATATGCACAGGCTGTTTCTTGGATCCCATATTCAACCCTGCTTTCGTCCCCTCAGATGATCTTAACTTGGCTTATAGTGCCCTTCATATTTATTGGAAACACTCTGGTCTTTTAGTAGAGATGTGCAGGTATAAATAAAACACCCCCCCAAGGCTCCAGATATAAGTGAGAGAGAACCACGGTACCTCGCAGAGGTGCGTCCTGATCACCGCCATCCAGAATTTCCAAGAAGTCACGTGAACACTGTCTGCTACCTTGAAGTTCAAAGTGGCTAAAGGAGAGGGTTATATGATTGACTGTAAAAAAAAACAAGAGAGACTATTTATTAAAGCACTGCCAAACAAAACATACAAAGGAGAGCAATTTTACCTCAGATAATTGCATCAGAGGATTCTCCAGCAGGGAAGCAAAGGATTTGGCAGGTAGTCAGTGAGTAAAAGAAAAGGGAACAAGGCTCTGCTACAAGGTTTTCCTTTGAAGTGTTAGAGGATCAATATTTTTTTTAAAATGTCTATAGAATCTGAGTACAGGAAATGGTAAATGAGAGAACGCTCTTGGGTAGGTGCATTCCAGAGACCATGGCAGAACATCTGCTTGGAAAGACGACAGAGAATAAGGGTTTGGTTTTGTTTTTTTTTTTTAAAAATACAAGGTCTGGCTGTATGTCCCTTTTAAGCATTTTGGTTTGAAAGAATAATTTCTATAAACTCAGAACCTCTTGTGTGCTTGCAAAGAAGCAGCTCTTTGCTGTTCTGACACACAGTCCAGCACACTCAGTTTTCTTTACAGGCCAGTGCCCTAGAGGTTCAGAGACATTCATATCGAAAGCTTTGAATTACTTGCACAACAGCAAATGCCTGGGTACATTTTTTTGTGGTTCTTCCAGGACCCCTAATCTTCAGAATACGATCTTTTCCTGTTGCTACATTTTGAACCAAGGAGATCTTTCATCCAAGTGCTTTACAACCCATTAGAAAATAACCCATGGGCACAGAACTGCTCTGCTCCAGGCAGGGTCCCCGTTAGTCACAGCTCCATCTCCAGCCAGCAGCTTTCTTTGGGCCTTCACTCTCCTTGTCTGCAATTGGCCAAGGATTACATTACCAGTCTCTAAGCCCTGTGTATGTCAGTAAAGATACTATCAATTTGTTAACTCTTATTATCACTGAGAAAATTGTCGGAGAGTATGTGAGCCAGACCTTTTTCTTGATTAGAAAATGGAATTCAATTTGTTTAAGTGACTTGCCAGTTATTACACAGAAACTGAGTCAAGAACCTAATGCTTGAATCAGTCTTTCCTGATAAACTCAAAGGAGGGTAAGGATTTTTTCAAATTTGTTGTTAGTGCCATTGAATTGACTCTAACCTACATAGAAACCCTACCACATACAACAGATTGAAACCTTGCTGTGTCCTGCTTCCTCCTCACAATGCCTGCCATGCTTCAGCCTGTAATTGCAGTCACTGTGTCAATCTAACTCATAAGGGTCTTCTCTTTACAATTTTCCAAGCAAGACATCCTTTTTCAAGGACGAGCTCCCTATGATAACATGCCTAAAGCATGAAAGACAAGTCTTACCATCCTCGCTTCTAAGGAGCACTCTGACTACATTCCTTGTATTTTGGAAATAAGACGCATAGTACTCTAGAATGCCCCTCCCCCTTTGCAGCCTTTTTTTCCCCCTCCTGTGTTCTTTGGCTTGTCCTCATATTATCTGTCTTCAAAACGAAGACAGTCATTCTTCCTACCAGAAGGTTATGGGCTCAGAAATGAAGATGCTACAATTTTAAAAAGAAAATAAGCCCTAAATAAGTGCCTTTTCCAGGCCAAAAGTGGGATTTATTTTCTTCCTTCCTTTCTTTCTCTCTCTCTCTGTCTGTCTGTCTCTCTCTCTTTACCCCAAACATGTATTGCAGGAAAGAGCAGGCTTTATAATTAGCTTCCATTTTTACTGAAGATCAATAGGCTCAGAGTGATACATTCTCAGTCTGTGAGATATGAATTCTCTAGTGTATAGTTCTTATTATTCATTCAGCAACTATCTACTAGAATGAAGGCACAGGCATCAAAAAGGTCATTATTCTTTCTGCTTATCCTCAATCTCACATCTCTGACACTGCAGACAAAGTTACATGTCTGTTATTGCTTTTATCCCCTAGCTAGATATTGAGACTCCCCCCTCCCCTTTCCAATTAAAAAGAAACAATCAAATTACTCCCTTCTCAGGCTAGGAAATGCTGTTCTTGTGCACATCAGGATTTAGCACTAACACAAGATGAGGGATATCATCAACTGTTACAACTGAGAAGATAGAAATATTTGCCATCTTTTTTACTTCTTTTTTACTACTTACATGGAGGTTGAGCTTGAATTATCCAGCTGCAGTTCTGGTTGCGTGGATACGGGGCAGGGAACAACGGAGAGGAAATGGTATCAAAAGAATCCGTGATGAGGAAGCCTCCACAGGCTGAAGAACATAAAAACATACACACACACACTCCATTCACTTGTGATTGCTACCAATAGTAAGGAACAATTAGGAGGTGAATAATTTGGTGAATCAAAAGAAATGGCTTTCCTCCTTTCTAAAATGAATGTCAAAGAAGTCACATATAAGCTCTGGGAAAATGGGAACATACTTCCTATTTAGAACCATGCTTTTAAATAACAGGAAATGAGGAAGTGCCATGTAACAATCAATTCAAGTGGATATGAATTGCCTGACCAATGCAAACAAGACTCTGGCACTAATTCACTTAATTTGTCTACTCATAAATTGCAGGTACCAGGATACTATATGAAAGATCTATCCTTTTGAGAGAACAAATGCTCAACTGAACAAGACTTCAGAGAATTTCAAAGATATATAAGCATCCAGAGGAATGAAAGCTTGTGGTCAACTGGAGAGAAAAGAAGAGATCTCATGGAGGAGTCCACAGGCTGAACAAAGAATTGGAGGGAAGAAAGAGTAGTCTAGGGAAAGGAAACTCTGAACAATGACACAGAGAAGCATAAGAGGTGCATTTACCAGATCAGCCTGAAACACAGAGTGCTGGAGGTGGGAGTGGACAGGTAGGTTCCAAGGTCTTTGGATGACAAGTGGAGGGGTTCAGGCTTCATTCAGTAGGTTGAGTCAGAATAGAAATTTGAGCAGCAAATGACATGTTCATTTCCTTATAACAAGATTACTGCAAATCATTCTGGAGTCAGATGGAGAAAGGATGAGTGAGATTGAAGAGTCGAGATAGGTGTCCCATTGCTCTGCAGCAACATGCAAATGAATCATTAAATGAAACAAAAATTCATTTAATATTATTTCTTTGAAAGTGCTACTGGCAATTGATTCATGCTTTCTGTCTTACTTTTCAAAGTCAAAGCAAAGAAACACCACCTCCTGCAATACAGTTGTTCTTCATCCTGACTGGGAGGAAGGGGTTCATGTCTAAGAATGAGGGTCATTATTGAAGTGATTCACCAGGAAAAACTAGCAAGTAGTAATTTAAGAAGGAAAATGCAAACATTATTTTTTCAGTTTGAACCAGGAATTAGAAAAATTAGTATCTGGAAGTTTGAAATCTTATAGTCTGTGTCAGTATATCTCTTTCTAGAATAAAAATTTGGAGAAAGGCAAAGACAAATACATGTGGGGGAAAAGTTGTTACTACCTCTGGTATAAATAAAGATACCTTTAAGTATCATTCTTAAAATATATTTGACAAAGGAAGTTAACAACAACTAAATTAGATAAGGCCAAAAGTAAAAGTATAAACAAGTGGAGTAATTCTAGATTACCTTTTCTTTAGTTTATTTACTTTTTTACATATGCAGAAAGCTGTTACCAATTTCTGAGAGCTAATCTCATCTCACTGGAACACAACAGGAGCACTAAGAAGAGTTTGCCTACACCCTGGGAAGACCCACATGGCACTCACCTTGCCTGAAGTGGGCTCTGAAGCCCCTGTTATGTCTGGAAGCTCCAGCTTGAAATCTCACAAAGAGAGTGTTTCCTGAAGAGATGATGGGGTTAGTCAGTTGCTGTCTTCCACACACACTGGCAAGGCGGGTGGTTGCTGAATTGAAGCCATCATAGGCCTACAAAGAAAGGCAGCATATATAATAGTGGCCTAAAATGTCAGATTTATATCTAGAAGATCCCTTTCCATGAACTCTCTGCTCTCCTAGTGCAAAGCAGCTCAGTGAAGTTTGCAAACTACGATGGACTAGGAAGCAGGAGTGGCATTCCCTTCCAAAATGATGAGCCCTTAAAAGTATTGTACTTGGAAGTAGACCATAGTCTTGATATAGTGCTCACAGATAAGCCCTCATATGGGAAGGCCTTCAAAAACGGAGAAGAGCTGCACCCTCAAAGTTGTTGTTATGTGCCTTTGAGTTGAAAGTGACTCATAGGGGACCCTCTAGTGGCTTTACAGATGCTGTAAATTGCATAGGAGAAAAGTGACTGTCTTTTTTTTCTTGCAGAGCAGCTGGTATATTCAAGTTGCATGCCTTCAGGTTGAAAGCACAACTCTTTACCCATTAGACCACCAGAATTCCCTCCTCTTCAAAATAGAGCAACCTTATTGAGGTGAATGGAATATAAGACCTTCATTTACTAACATGGTAAGACTCAAAACAAGGAGGAAATGTCTGCAATCATCCATTAATCAGAAAATAGGCTGTTTGCAGTTCTGTTGTTAATTGCCATTGAGTTGTACACAACTCAGAGCAACTCCATTAACAAAAGACCTGAAGCCTTTCCATAACTTTCTATAACTATCATTCCTCCAATTTCAGAGTTTCCAGAGGCAAGTGGTTTAGGAAATGGATGTCACTCCTGATTCTTAACCTGTCTTAAAACTAGGAGCTCCACTAAACACTGTCCACCATGGGCAGTCATTACGGCATTTGAAACTCTAATGGTACAGGGTTCAGCATCAGAACAAACCTAGATTACCTCAGCACAGCAAATGGACAGAAGAATGCTGTACAACTTAGAAGTATGTTCCTCCAAAATATAGTAGCAAAGGATTAAAAGATAATCCCTCAGACCTGACTTATTAAATAGAAGGGCCCACCAGGAGGTTTTGTTGACTCTAAACAAGAGGCTTAAACAACAAAACAATCCACACAGATCCTCAACCAAAACAAGAGTGCCATCATACACAGTAGAGCCAATGGAAGTCCAGAATGGAAGACAAGGGCTTGGCAATATATATTGTTATTGTTGTCATTAAGTGACATCTAGTAGAGAAACCATAAACAAAATATTTTAATCTTCTTCTATAACTATTATCCCTTCTCTAAGTTCATAGAGTTTCCACAGGCATGTTCAGGAAGTGGATGTCACTCCTGCTTCCAAGCCTGTCTTAATCTGTTAGCTAACCAGATATTGTCAACCATGTGTAACCGTTACGGCACTTGACAGATCAATGGTACAATGTTCAGTATCACAGCAATCCAAAGTTACCTCAATCCAGAGAAATGACAGAAAAGCGCTGTAACACTTAGTAGTGTTCATTTCAAAAACAATTACAACCAGATCCTTTGGCCTATGGCCCTAGGGCCAAATGAATTTTAAAAGGCTGAAGGCCCAGGGTTCAGGCTCTCATTGGTTCCCAACAAGAGGCTTCTGGCCAGCCAAAGACTACCCAGAGCCTTCCCACACTAACACAGAAAGGACACACTTCTAAAGTCAGGTGAATTTTAAAAGGCCACAGGCCAATGCCTCAGGCTCTGATTGGTTCCCAGCAAGGGGCTTCCAGCCAGCCAAAGATGACCCAGAGCCTTCCCACACCAACACAGAAAGGATGCACAACTAGAATTTGCAATACTCGTCTAGGAAAATTAAAGGCTGAACAAATAAATATGTCTTGTTAAAAGTATAACTGGAATGCTCCTTGGTGAGACTCTTTTTCATATACTTTGGGTATGTTAACAAGTCAATTACTGAATAAGGATATCATGTTTGAGAAAGTAAATAGTGAAAATGATGTAAGCTACAAGAATGTCAGATGGGTTCATAAATTAAAGGCTTTAATCATAGCCTTGGTGTTTACCACTTTTACGATCTAGGCACAAGGAATAGCTCTCCTGGTTGGCTAGTTCTGCAGTGCTATTCATTCAGAGGCTCTATTTCTGGTATTGATACTGTGGTGTTACTAAGTGATGTGGCAGCTATCTTGTGTCCATGAGGGGGAACATGGATGACATGTCTGCTGTAGACATCATTCTTACAGGCCAGTTTAGAGTCCTTTCAAAGACCTTATAGGAACATTGACTGCTCAAAACTAGGAAGATCATTTAAGCCATTTCAGGAGTGGTCTTGGCATGAAATAGATAAAGGCTTGGCCCATGGTAGTTGCATAAGGTGGCAGAGTTGGGAAAGAAAAAAAAGAACAATCCTGAGGAGGTATGCACTAGACTCAGTGATCTAGGAGAATGGGGAGAGGGGGAGAAGGTGTTGGGGTTGGTTTTTCCCCCCTCCTTTTTTGTGTGATTTGAGTGAAAGTTTACAAAACAACTTATTCATTCATCCATGTATCTACATTTTATTTTATAAGATAAAATAATACACAATGTAACCACACATTTCTCAATTCTTCCTTATGATCCTCATTCCATTAAACGTTCTATATTACCCCTTGCTACCATGATGGCGTTATCAATGAACAAAATCTGCTCTTTTGATCCTATGTAGTTGGTTCCTTTTAAGAAATTAGTGTCTCCCTGGTGCCAACTGTCACCTTATAGGTCTGACTATTGTTTGGTTGAAAGTTGAGCCATGGACACTAGAATAAATTGTCTTTGATTTGAAGGCAGTGGATCTGCTTTCTGGTGAGGTTAGAGGTAAGCTAGGCTTTTGGTAATATTAATACTGTTGTCGTTTTACTTTCAAAAGTTAAAGCCCACCTTCTCAGAACATCTGTATTATAGAATCTAGAGAATATGTTCATTTTTGGTTAAGGCACAAAACTACTTACTTGTCTCAAGCTGGTAAACTCATTCACCCCACTGCCTGTCTCTGTCCCTGCCCTCAAATTCAGGGGTCCAGTAAGTTGATAGTAGACTTTTCTCTATTTTCTTCCCCCTTGTGAGGTGTTACAGTTCTCTCAAGGAAAAAGATGAAAATAAGGAGATATAATAAAAAAGTGAGCTGAAAGGTAAGGCTATATCTCCTGAATAAGGTGTTTCCCTGGAGTTCCTTTGAAAGGCAAATCTCCTGGGGGCCTGGGCATGTGGGGTCTATAGGTTTTCCAGGTACTGCTTGAGATCCTAGAATTATGGGAGCTCTGGTAAACTACACATAGTGGGGCACTGCTTTATAAGGTCTAGATTCAAAGGCCTCTAGAAATCAGAGTCAAAATAATATCCTAGGGATTCTATAAATTTTATTAACATGATAAAATTTTATAAGCACCATCAAAGACATCTTAATCTAGTCTTCAACAACTAGTCCTCAAAAATTCAAAGTAATATAATTTTATTTTATGGTTTTTTAACAATGAAAATGAGTGTGCTGGCTGTTAAACTATTGCCATGAATTGCAAAGTAGTTTTTATGTACTGTTGAGTTGACTATGATTCAGTGACTCTGTGAACAAAAGCTCTGAACCTTGTCCTATCCTGAACCAGCCTCATAATCTCCAACACACCAGACTCCACTGCCACAGTCATTGTGTCAATCCATCTCATTGAGGGTCTTCCTTGCTTGCCCTGGCTTTCTACCCTTCCGAGCCTGATGTCCTTCTTCACGATACTTAGCTAATGCTGTAGAAGTACAATCAGGGTGCTCCTTGAAGGCAAAGATGGTGAAACTTCATCTCACTTACTCTGGGCATGTTGTCAGTAGGGGCCAATTCTTGGAAAAAGGAATCATACTGGGAAAGGTGGAAGGTCAGAGAAAGAGAGGAAGACCTTTGACAAGATGGAGTGACATAATGACTGTAAGAATAGGCTTGGGCATGGTGGAGATTGTGAGGTTGGTGCAGGATAGAGCAAGGTTCAGATCTGTTGTTCATAGGGTTGCTATGAGCTATACACAATTTAATGGCGCCTAACAACAATGAAAATTAAGTTGGGAACTTATTTCTTCTCTTTCTCTATTCTGTAATATTGTGTTGTTTTGTTCCAAATGTCCAGGATGATTATTAAGTTATTTGAGCTTAACTGCCATTATATGAAAGAATTAAACTTCAGGCTACCAAACAGTCAGTGTTTTGTTTTGTTTTGTTTTGTTTTGTTTAAGCAAAGATTGGAATAATAAGTCTTTCATTTGAAAGTGTTAACATTTGTGATGTGAAATCAATATTCTCACATTTAAAAACTTAAATTTATTGCAATGTAGTTTCAAATGTACACAATAAGAACACTCCAAAAGAGAAAATATAAGAAACCTTGTATCCATTTATTTAAAATTCCAAAATTTTGAGAGTAATCAATATCCATATTCTTTTACTTTCATTTAGATCCTAAGGCAGAACTAGAAAATTGCATTACTATTGGTAGAAACAAACATATATTAATATAACTTATAGCTACATAATTCTTACTTAAGTCTATTTGCTAAGAGTTTTCTAAGCCTTGAAATTGATTTTCAGATCTATAATTTAAATGGTAAAAGAAAAAGCAATCGACAACAAAGCAAAGCTTGTACATCTCAACTAACTCATTTCTAGACGACACTAATAAAATTGTGAAGTTGAAGTCACACAAGGAAAAATGATCACCATCTATGAACTTTCAGCTAGAGGAGGACTAAAAACAGAAGTTAAAATGATTAAGTGGTGACCACAAATCTATAAGTGAGCTCTGGTGGCCTAGTGGGAAGGAGTTCACTGCTAATCCAAAGACACGAGCTTTGAATCAACCAGCTACTCCGAGGGAGAAAGATACACAATGTCCCCCTGCACTGTGTACAAGTCTCTGAAAATTAGCTTGAGGGTCAGTTCTGATTCAACAGCACATAACAACTATAACAACAATATTTATAGGAAAATCAGTAAGTCTCTTTGGATAGCATCTACAGCTTTGTGGTTTGTTTATTCATTTATTTTTTTATTTCCAAATACCAAAATGTTGTTGTCATGTGCCATT